ATTCAATGTCGTCGTATTATCGGATGCCTCTGCCCGACGCACCATGCAGGTTAAAACTGATCCCTTGCTTTTTTTCCTTTGACGAAATTCGTGCAAGAGCCTGGGAGGTGCTTGCAACGGAGGGTGGCGACAATGTCATTGTCGCAGCTGGAGTTGGAGAGGGCGCCGAAGCTTGTTGAGTGCTATTGCGCCTCTCGTCAGCAGCCTTCCGCTTCTAGCACCGGTCTATTGTATGACCTGGTTTCTTGCAGTACTTGTAGAAGGTCCCTTTCTTTCTGTGCTACTCCCCTTCTGTTGCTCCGGAGAAGAATACTAACTTTTCCCGCTTGTTGTTTTTCTCATTGTACAAATCGATCTCTTTCTTCTCGGAAATGAGTGTGGCGCAAAGGGCGGCCTCGGAAATAGTTGCTCGTGTGTGGAGCAACGACTGGCATTGGCGCCAATCGGGTCCTAGTCGAGAGAGAACCATCGAGACAAACATGTCGTCAGCGACGGTTCCTCCGCACTTCTTGATGTGGTCGCGCAGATTGCGCCACCGATCAATACACGATCCCGCTTTTTTCCCCTTGTTGCATTTTGATTGATGTCAGTTGACTGAGCAGGCGACTCATTGTAACTGGATCTGTTGCCATATATAAATTGCGCAGGTGCTCCCAAGACATTTGCGCAGGAGCGCACTCCGATTTGTAGGAGCTGATGCTAAACTGCTCGGTGGGAGAGAGATTTCGCAGAAGAGCGGTGTACGGAAGAAGGGACTCGTGGTAGTACTGATTCGTATCGTGGATGGTTCCTTCCAACGGAAAATGTGAGCTCCCGTCGTAGTACATCTATATCTGCGCGGTTGTTGCGAGGAGCTCAAACTCGAAGCTCCACGTGTAGAAATCCTTGCCGTCAAATGGAGTTGAAGTTTTCAGCTTTGAGGTCAAAACTAACTTTGTTTGCATAGTTGCGATTGCCTCTGATTGTGCGCGTTGTTGACTGTCTTGCGCAGGGGCGGAAGCTTGACAGTTGTCAAAGGTAAATGATCTCTCGGAATTGACGCGACGGCCTTCTCCAGGGAGAGGAAGCTGAGCAACTCTTCTTGCGTAGCTTGAGCCGTCAATGCTCATGGCTTGATGGCTCTCAAGAGCGTTGATGCGAGCGACAAGGTGCTCAACGAGAGCAGCGCTGACAAAAGTCACCGCTGAAGGCGCATTAATCGTTACTGGTTGTGGGCCCTGAAAGTTAGCAGCAGCTTTCTCTTCAAGAGCCATCGTGATGCAGACATGTAATAAGTATTTTAATGAATGGGTTTGTAAGGAGTTTGTTCTAGGAAGAACATGAACTTAGGAGATCTTATAATCCACTATGGCTCTCATACCATGTTGATATAATCTGAGGATCGCAGTGGACAATGCAAGACTTGCTGAGTAGTAGGAAGACAATGAAGCCTTGTAGTGACCTTATTATTAAAGTTTGGAAGGAAACAAGATTATTGTTAGATAGAAGTACAATGATACATATTGCAAACTAGCTATCCATATACTCTGAGGGGTAGATTCCCTTATTAATTGTATTGCATAGCTACAGTAATTGCGACTATTGTCTTTCTCGACAGTTACCACGTTGCATCGCGTAACCTCTGATGCGGTTGCCGGACGGTCAGCAGTCGCGACCGTTGATTAATAGCGACTGTTGACCTTCGGGTGACTCTCGACCTTGCTGCCGCATGCTCTATATGAGCTATTGCGGTACTAGTACAGTGGCGCTGCTTCGTTATGAAGCGATGCACTAGGAGAGAACCTTCAGGAATTTTATGATAACCTTTCGGTTATTCCAACAAATAAGATCAATCAGGGGAGTAGGGGACCTTAGTAAAATGAGTGATATAGAAGATAAGATTCTAATATTTCGGTTAAGCATGCTCAGTTCGGAGAACCGACAATCGCTAGACAGTGAGTACATCTATATCGAGTCTTGGTGTGGATGTTTCCCACCAGAAATCGATGCATGATCTTGAAAGTGCGATCACTGATTCTGAAAGATCACGTGATGCAGAGACACATTTCTTTTGTCCTTTGTTGACCGTCTCGCAAATGCTTCAAGTGTTATTTTGTCAGCTTGGTTCATAGTGTACAAGTTGAAACTCAAGATTCAAGCCCAGCGATGTATTGGTGTCAAATGATCCACCAGCGAACTTTTTCTTCAAGTCTGACGGTAGCAGAAGCTCTGGAGGACAAAAGGACTGCCGCCCTCCCGACGCAATGCGATGGTACTGTGCATAACCACAGTGGTAGAATTTCAAGTTCCTGAAGCTAATTCCCGACAGACGAGACACCAGCCTCCCCCTGCCCACAAACAATATGTAGTCTTGTTTCTGCTAATTTGATCTTTATTTTACATGTCGGATAAATTACCAGCACGGAAGTAAGTGTCGCGCAAGACTACACGCCTAGTGCTTGTGGTGGTTTTCGCTATGCAATTTGGACTCAAGGGCCCAATATTTTCTTTTCCCTCAGCCTTGAACTAGGCATAAACAATGGTACTGAAGTTTTGAACTAGCCCCATTCACCACCTTGTTTCCAGACGCTCCAGGGGATAAAATACGCCGCCCTTTCACGCGCTGAAGATGCATGACGGGCCACAGATCAGGGTGAAGCCCCATACAATCCGTGTAATCCGTGTTGCAGAGCGATGCAGTCCGTGTTGCGGTGGTACATTCCTACTTCCCACACACCCGTCCAGAGACGGGCAGCATTCTGTCTACTTCCCACAGATGTAGGCTTCAGGAAACTGAATTTTTGGCGATACTGCGTCGCTGCTTCTGTGGCAGTTCGTAGGCGAGGCGACCGACCACGCGATGCCAAACACCAGACACGAATGTCGGGTCGGGAAGCGTTCCTAAGGGCGTGTAACCTTTTTCCGAACCGTCGTCCGGACTTTGGGCCGTCCGGACGACCCGTGTGGTTACATGTTTCGTCATAGCTCGTTAGGCTTTTCGCCACTAATTTTGCGACGTCGCATAGGTACGGACGGTGTCTGACACTTTTGCAGGTTTTTGGCGCGTGGAAATTGTCCGTACAGTGTCCGAAGTGAAATCGGACTGTCCGACTCAGGCTTGCTGTCATTGGCGGCGAAAATATTGCAAGCACAAGCGAGTCGCATGCATTTGTGTACGAAAATAGCGAGTGCTGAGTAGCACTCGTAACCTGTCGTGTGTCGCGGAACATTTGGAAACACAAAAGTTCCACTTTTGAAGTACGGACGGGCCTATGTCCGGACCAAAGGCAACAGACGTCCGTACCGAGGCTGTCCGGTCGCTTTAGAGGCGAGGTCCGGACATTTGCCGGTTCGGAAAAAAGTTACACGCCCTAAAAGGCACATGTCTCGCATCGCAGGCTTGAAAATCAGCAGAACGACGAAGGGAAATTATACATGCAGTCACAATTATGCCCGTTTTATCACGATTGGTCACAGGGGCATTACGAACAGTCACAGTACAGTAGATTTCTATCGCAAGTGATCACAGTGCTATCACGGATGGTCACACCTCGCCCCGAAAAGCTATCACGTTTGGTCACTCGATGAAACGACCGTAAAAAGTTGAAACTACCCATGCCACTGTAGGGATTCAAGGAAAGTTCTCTCGCGCGCGCCGTTTTGTCCGTAGTATGACGAAATAGTTTCGCGACACTCGGTAACTCGTTTAAACCATCTGCAATTTCTTGTTAACTATTTGATTGTCCCGTGTTCGTCGATGCATAATGACCCTAAGAATATCACTTTTAGACGGGTAAACTCGACAAAAAAAACTAAAACCCGATCGGATGGGATTTAATTCGGGATGCATCAACCCTAAACACCTTGTCGCATGTGTTTAGGGTTGATGCCTCCCGAAGGACGTGCCATCCTACAGGGGTTTATTTTTTTCTTCAGTCCCCTAAATGTCAGGCTAGAATCATTCGCGAGGTAATCAGCAATCAAAATTGGGATTCCCCAATTTTTCTCTGCAGTTTCATTTGTGGTTTCTAATTAATTAGGAACGTTTCATCGAGTGACCAAACGTGATAGCTTTTCGGGGCGAGGTGTGACCATCCGTGATAGCACTGTGATCACCCGCGATAGAAATCTACTGTACTGTGACTGTTTGTGATACCCCTGTGACCAAACGTGATAAAACGGGCATAATTGTGACTGCATGTATAATTTCCCAACGACGAAATGCCATCAGCAGCATTTGCAAAATTGAAAAAAGCAGCATTACCGATTGATTTTCCACCTCTCTCCCTTCGCCCTATCTCAGCTCAGCCTCCCAAAGCGCTGTCTCCTCTCCTCCTCACGTCACTGTTATTTTTAGAGAATCATGTCTTTCCCTCCTCACCGCTGCTGCTGGCCCCGCCCGATATCTCTTGTGATCCTCGCTGCCGCGTGACTGCCAGGTGCCAGCTGTTCTCTTTGCCAGGTGCCAGGAACGCCCTCTTTGTCCGTCCAGGTCTATCCTCACTGGTCCTCCTGAGTTCCTCCCCTCCCCCAACATCTGTTCCAATAATCCCCCTGGACTTCACGCGTCTTATTGAGGTGCTTCAAACATCTGTTCCAATATAACCCTTATCTCTAGCATCAGAAAGTTACCCGTAGTACTACTACACAACTCGATGTTGGACTCTCAACCCCGTCGTATTATCACACACGAGCCTCCTTACGAGCAAATCTCCCCTAGCATCCCAAACTACGCTCCCTTTTCGTCCTTAGAGCTTCAGTCCCCTCAGCCGTGCGCAGAGCGAACGCCACGTCATCATCGCACTATATCCTCAGAAAGCAAGATGCTTAGTCTCGAGGCGCCGCGTCGAGGCATTGCGCTTGACGAGCAAAGCGCCTTCGATCGCTGCTATGGGTATCCCGCACCCACGGTATTGACTGAAAGTCAGCACCGCAGTCAGCACCGCCGGCAACGATCCGCAACCGAGCTTCAGGCTTTTCCTCCTTCCCCGCCAACGAATTATGTTCCTCCCGTCCCCCGCATGAGACACGGAACTCCCCGCAGTGCTGCGAGTTGCGGCCAGATTTCGCTCGAAAGGAACGAGGAGAGCGGAGCTTCCTCGCACGCGGGGCCGTCGCTATCCCCGGCCCGGTCGCCGCTACGACAGCGGGAAGGAAATCACAGAACCGCGCTGCGACGGCGTGGCAGCGAGGCGGATCTGCTTTTCCCCCATTCACTATCCACCCCCCCGCCCGCACCGTTGCCGTCCCGCGGCGTGCCCCACTCCCGCTCCGGGGAGTTCCGCATCCAGCCAGGCGGTGACGGCGGACTCTCTCCCGTCCACCGCCGTCAATCCACGCGGCTCCCCCGGCCTCCGTCCTCCCAGACCCTCAGCGCCGCGGGTGCCGCCAGGGGCCCCCGCCGCAACTCTCGCGCCCCGCATCTGTCGCTCGATGAGCATGCGTTTGTCTCAGCGGCTCTCACGCCCGGCCGGCGCGTCAGCAACGGCTGCGATCCCGCGAATTATTCTTTGTCACCGACGGCGCTCGCCGCCGAGCAGACGTCGCCGTACGGCGCGGCGATGGACGTGGTTGCGTCGGCGCGTCAGCTGATGGAGGAGTGCAGCGCGCGCGGTATTCAGTGCGAACTCGACGACTGGCAGAAGCCCGAGGCGCCGCTGAAGAGTAACGCGCTCATGCCGCAATCCGCCAGCGCGGGGCTTGGCGTGGCGGAAAGGACGCAGGCGGAGGCGGTTTCCGGGGGAGGTCGAGGAAGGAAAGCTGGGCGGCAGCGCGCGGCTCGGGGGCAAGTCGTGGCAGGGCGCAACGGCGCTGGCGGCAAGTCGCATCACCGGATGGTCAGCGTGGACGAGCTGCTGGGCGACTCGCGACAGGCGGGGCTATCAAACAGAGCTGCCGGCGGTGGCGGAGGCGTGAGGGTGAACGGCGGCGTCGGCGGAATCGGCCTGCGATTCTTCCAGGAATTCGACGACCTGCCGCGGGAGCTGCTGCGCGAGATGCTTGCCGCCAACGCCGACGAGCTTGGCGTTTTCGAGCAGCGAAATGGTCGGGAGGACGCGATGTTGGACGGTCGGGTCGGCGCAAAGACTCGCGCGCGGCATGCGGGCGAGCGGGTCTCGCCAGGGATGAGTCGACGAGGGGCGAACGGGAGCGGCACGAGCGGTGTATCATTTCGCAGCGGCTGGGATGCTCTCGAGGCGGATGTAGACAGTGACACGCGCCGGTGGGGAGGAGGCGGAAAGGGGTTGATGCCGAAGATGCGAAACGAGAAGGCGGAGGACAGCGATTTATACGCCTTGGAGTTCGAGGAGAATGGAGGCGACGCGCAGCAGGAGGAAGCAGCGCAGACGTTAAGAGAGCAGGTGATTCTGTCGCAGCAACCAATGGCCGGAAAGTCCATGCTCGGGTCGCGAATGGCAACTGAGGCGCACTCCACGCTCACGCCGTCCCCTCAAGGTTCCCGCTCCCGCACTCCCCCGCGCAACATGCCTCTCCCGCGGAGACGCCGCGAGTCCGCGCAGTTGCCAAGCTGTGCGTCCGTGCCGTCCTTCCAGGCGTCGTCCCCTCCGTCTTTGTCCGCCAAAGAACGAGAGCTCGGGCTTCCGCCCGCCGTGCCGCGCGCGACTTCAAAGCAACCCGTGTATCGCACTGGCTCAGTGATAAATGAACGTCACGCCGGGTCGAGCCCGACATCTCCCAGCCTTGAACACGGAAACGCGTCGAGCCTAGTGTACCCCCAAACGCAAGCTGCTGCCGAACTAGGGTCCCTGGTTGGGCCCAAGGCACGGGGTGCTCGGCCAGAGCAGCAGCCACCGAGGCATGCGCGCAAGTACAACAGCGGGAGCCAGCTGGACGTGTTCGCGGGGTTCCGCTCACACTCGCGGAGCAGCAGCAGTGGCAGTGTGACAGAGGGAGCCAGCGGAAACTGCGCGCAGTGGGAAGCGGTCGAGGCGGCGCTTATGGCTTGTGCAGGGATGGGTGAAGGTTTCGGCTGGGGTAATCAAGCAGGTTCGGATGCAGGCACGGGCGGCACGGGCGTACACGGGGCTAAGTGGGGAAGCCTGAGCCTTGGTCTGGAAGGCCTCAAGCTACAAGGCGCGCTCGCCTCAGCCGTGCCAAATTTGAAGCCGACGGATTTCGTGCTGCGGATGCCGTACGATGACATCAAGGGGCGATACTCTCTAGGGAAGAAGGAGATTGGCGAAGGCAGGTTCGGAACCATTCGAACCTGTTTAGAGCGCGCCACAGGGCAGGTGTACGCGTGTAAAACAATCTTGAAGAAGACTATCGAGGTGAGTTCAGGCATGCTACACCTTACTGTGAAACTACATGGCTGCAACCTCAATGTTCATATTTTCTCACTTTACAATTATACTTCTACTTTCCTTGCAGACAATCGAGGATGCTGACGATGTTCGACGAGAGGTAACATTCCTCGCCATGCTTCGCGGCCATCCCTCAGTTATCACTCTTCAGGAGGTCTTTGAAGACGACAAGGCCATCCACTTGGTGATGGAGCTCTGTGCGGGGGGCGATCTCTTTGACCGAATCAAATCACGTGGTCAAATCCCGGAGGCCGATGCAGCTCTCGTGCTGAAGCAGCTCCTGGAAGCCCTGCTGCACTGCCGCTCCCTTGGCATTCTCCATCGCGACATCAAGCCCGAAAACATCCTCCTTTGTAGCCCCAGCGAGAATGTCCCTATAAAGCTCATCGACTTCGGCGTGGCTACAGTGCTCGAGGAAGGCTCAACGTGCCGGGAGATGGCGGGAACACCGGAGTACATGGCACCGGAGGTGCTCGACGAGTGTTACAACTATGAAGCAGATGTGTGGAGTGCCGGGGTGACCCTCTATGTGATGCTCTCAGGCGTGCCGCCCTTCTGGGAGTCGTCCAATCGGACGCTCGAGGAGGCGATCCGGAAAAAGAAGGTGGTGTTCAAGTACTGGAGGTGGGCGACTGTGTCCGAGGAGGCCAAGGACCTTATAACGAGGATGCTGGAGAAAGACCCTCTGGATCGCATCACAGCTCGCGAAGTGCTTGGTGAGTTAATGACTCCTACACCAATCAGCCAGCTTACCTGACCGTTCGAAGTTCAGGTGCTTCTACTGCATACAGTTCCAAGTCTTGCTCTTGCTCTGGATGATCATTGTTCTAATTTTCTCCGATTTTCCGATGCGTGTTTCCTCTGCATGCAGCACACCCATGGATTCAGAAGCACACCAAAGCAGCACAATGACTCCCCCGAAGTCTCGAGCACATCTAGCAACCGGAACACTCATTCTAAAAATAAACATCGTCTTGCAGCATTTCTGCACATGCGGTCGTTCTCGCCTGGTGTAGCTGCGTGCTGCATGCTACTAGTTTCCCAGCAAGATGGCAGCATGCTGTGTGATGGCCCTGATTTAGGGTAGTCATAGTAAAAAGCTTAGTGTACAGTGTGAAATGTTTTGTGAGAATGGCTCAGTCAGAAATGGGACATTAACGGTGCATATTTGCCTCTTGAAATAGATGCCATCATTGCCTCCTGATGACAGTAAGCTGGCTATTCCCTATTGTACACCACATGGCTGCCTGGATTACCGCATCCTCAAGACACCTGCTGTGAAGCTGTGACTTGACTAAAAGCCTCACTTTATTCACTCTGCCAGTGGCCTCTAGGCCACCCATATTCATATCAACCTCCCCTGCCTGACTCTCAGTTACAGCATCCAGTGTTTTTCACTGCAGGGGAGGGGCGGTGATACAGGTCAATGGGGGGCGGCCCTAGGCTGTTAGATCGATGCCTACACTGCACAGAGTGTGAAGTTGCCAACATGCCTGTCAGTACTGCCATGGCCGTGCCTGTAATAGCCATGGCTCGCAGCCATGGCTCCTCTCTATCAGTCATGGCTCCTCCCTATCAGTCATGTATTTCACCCACGGGTGCTCTGCATGTGGCATGTGAAGGCACGGAGGGGGTGCAAGTTGGGTAAATGGGAGGGAGGAGGGAGGTGTGTCAATGGTCCTTGAGAGTTCATGGGCGAGAGCACATCAGCATCTTGGAACCAGCACTCCCCAACCGACCCACCCACCCACCCCACTCCCCACCGCACCCAACACCCTCCCTGTCTGAACCAGCACTCACGAACCGACCGACCCACCCACCCCACGCATCCAACCACCCAACACCCTTCCTATCTGAACCAGCACTCACCGAGCACTTGAGCACCCAGAATCCGCATCTTGGGATCCTTTGTAAGCATCCTCTTTACAAGGTTCTTAGCGCTGTCTGATATGGTCTGCCAGCGTGGCGAGGAGAAGGAGACCTCGCTCTCCTTGATCGCCTGAAAAATGGCCTCGTTGGTGGACGCCCAGAAGGGCGGCATGCCGCACAGCAGGATGTATAAGACGACGCCCGCCGACCAGATGTCGGCCTCGGGCCGTGCGCGCCGGTGATGACCTCCGGGGCGATGTACATGGGCGTGCCGACGAACTCCATGCAGGACGCGTCTGACAGGGGCAGGGGGCAGGGCAGAGCATGTGGAGATACATGGATGGATGGATGGATTCGGGGTGAATGGCAGCAGAGAGGCAAGGGCGATGCAACATGGGCGTGCCCCCCAAACTCCACCCAAGAGTGATGACTCTTGAGGTTTGACGTCTGCGGTGATGTGCATGGGAGCGTGCGTGCACAGACTACCACATGCTGGGCGTGTCGCAGGGGCGCGATGCACGTGGCAGTGCCCATACACTATACACATGGCAAAGGCCCAGCCGCTAATGAAGTATTGCACCGGACTGCACCGCACGCATCCCCTCCCCACCCTCCCACACACCTGGCTCGATGAACGTGGCGACCCCAAAGTCAATAAGCTTGACCCTTGTGTCGTCTTGGGTGTCGCAGATGAGCACGTTCTCGGGCTTGACGTCGCGGTGCATGACGCCCTTCCCGTGGCAGCACAGCAGCGCCTCCACCAGCCCCTTGAGCACGCGCGCCGCGCCCTCCTCGCTGTACGGCCCGTGCGTCTTCACGCGGTCGTGCAGGTCGCCCCCCGTACACATCTCCATCACTATGTGCACGTCCTGGGGGGGGAAGGAAGGGGGGGAGGGGGAGGAGACGGCGAGGGGGGAGGAGTGGCACAGGGATATGTGAAGTTGAACCAGAATATGCGTTTCCAGTCGTCCCCCGTACACATCTCCATCACTATGTGCACGTCCTGGGGGGGAAGGAAGGGGGGATTGATGTGGGGGTGGCCGTTGAGCATCTCCATCACCACTGTGCCTCTATCCCCCCCCCCCCATGCACATCATGACCCCCATGCACATCATGACCCCCATGCACATCATGACCCCCATGCACATCATGACCCCCATGCACATCATGACCCCCATGCACATCATGACCCCCATGCACATCATGACCCCCATGCACATCATGACCCCCATGCACATCATGACCCCCATGCACATCATGACCCCCATGCACATCATGACCCCCATGCACATCATGACCCCCATGCACATCATGACCCCCATGCACACTGCAAGGCTAACGCACCCGGGAGTCCTCAAATGCGTCGCGCATGCGGATGATGTGGGGGTGGCCGTTGAGCATCTCCATCACCGCCACCTCCATGCCCACTGCCTCTGCATCATCCGCATACTGCACCCATGCATCACATCACATCGTGGGGTGTGGAGGGGCGTGGTGTGGTATGGTGAGGCCTGCTGTGGGTTGAAATGGCATGGCCTGTGATGGTGTTTCTCAATGCCAGTGCCGCAATGCATCAAGCACGCAAGCTGACTAAGAAAGCACGCATGCTGACTCGGCAAGTGTGCATGCTGACCTGGAAGGTGCTCTTGCTGATGCTCTTACACGCCAGCACCTCCCCCGTCTTGAGCTTCACGCAGCTCCTGATAATACCAAACTGCCCCGTGCCCAGGGGCGCCCTCTCCTGCAGCATGTACTCGCGCTCTATGTTGCGGTACGGGCGCCGCAGAATGAACCGCGGGCACTGTAGCCCCGGGAGCATCTCGGGCGGCATCATGCCGCCCAGCTGCCCCGGCAGCATGCCGCCCGGAAACGCGCCTGGGAAGCCGGGGATTTCCGGCGGCTGCCCGGGAAACTGCCCGGGAGGAAGCTGCCCCTGCATGCCTTCCGGCATGGGCTGCCCCGGGAGAGGGAATGGGTATCCGGGCAGAGGGAAGGGCTGCCCGGGAAAAGGAAATTGCTGGTCTCCTTGGGGAAAGGGTTGAGAGGGATCCGGAAACATCTGCCCGGGGATGAGTTGCTGCTGCCCGTTCATGTCTGGGAGCATCCCGGGGGGAAGATCTGCCCGGGAAATTGTGGGGCACCATTAGGTGGGGGCATGGGTATGCCATTCATCATCATGTGTGAAGAGCCGTCCATGGGCATGGCACCATGCATGTGACCATCCATGCCCATGCTGCCGCTCCCTATACCCCCACCCATGCCCCCTGGCAATGCTCCATTGGCCGAGGGCCGGCCGTCTTGTGCCACATCAGCGCCAGCCGGGTCATTCCGGGGTGCTGCCACATCAGCATCATCCATGTCAAACTCAAACGCATCAGCTTCCAGACTGCCCCTCCCATGCGTCTCCCCCTCCCCCTCACCCTCCCTCACCTTCTCCCCCACTTTCACCCTGGCCCGCTTCCCCTCCCCTTCTTCCCCTCCCCCACTCAACCCCCCCTCCCCGCCCTCCAAAATCGCCCCCACCCCCCACGCGCCCCGCTTCCCCCCTCTCCCCCCGCCCGCCCCGCCCTCAGGCGACCCTATAGACGCCCGGCTGGAGTGCCGCGACAGCCGCCGCCCGCCGCCGCCCAGGACAACGCTGCCCTCGTCGGCACTGTACACGGGCGAGCACACGTCCACCAGCGAACACACCCCACCGACCCCTCCGGACTCCCACACACCTCCCCCCCTCCTGCGCCCGCTGCCCCTCCTGCGCCCGCTGCCCCTCCTGCTTCCCCCCCTGCACCAGCTTCGCTCGCTGCTGCTCCCAGCCATGGGCCTTGACCCTGCTGCACTCTGCCCTCCTGCTGCTGCTGCTGTCTTTGTTGTTGCCATTGTTGCTGTTGCTGATGCTCATCCTGCTGACTTTGCTGCTGATAGTGGTTGTGGAAGCTGCTGTTCCGGTCATTCCCTTGCCCCCAGAACGACAGCCCTTCTCCCTCCCCACTCACAGCACCTCCACTGCACCCCATTCTCTCTCCCCCCGCGCCCCCTTCCCCCGGCGCCCACACTGCCACCTCAGCCAGGGGCGGGCTAGAGAGGGCGGATTCGGGGGAGCTGAGGCCAGCAGGGGAGAGGCTGCTGGAGAGCGGAGGGCTCACCGAGTCAGCAGGAAGATTATGAGAGGGATGCGTGCCGCCACCACCTGCTGCTGCTCCTGCTCCTGCGCCTCCTGCTGTTGCTGTTGATCCGCTGGCCAATGGCGACCCTGGCCGGCCGGCAGGGAGATCCAGGGCTGCCGGCCGCATCGCCATTGGTCGAGATGACGGCCGGGCGGCAGGGGCCACGGTGGCTGGGGCTACAGTGACCGGTCGGTTCCCTCCACTGGATCCTGGCCTCGCCGGCAATCGGCCGGCAGAGACCTGGACGGCGAGGGACTGTAGCGAGTCGGCAGCATTCTCAGCGAGCCCTCCTCCCGCCCAGCTGCCGTACACAGCCGCCTCCCCTTCACCTTCCCTCCCTCCCACTGCACCTGCTACCCCTGCGCCTGCCCCCCGTCTCGGCGACACAACAGCGCCTGGAAAAACACCTGAGGGGGCACCTGAGGGGGCGGCGTGGGAGTGGTGCTGCAGGCGGGCGAGAGCGGCCCTCATAAGGTCCTCTGCACCCTCTACCCCCATGAGGCGCCGTGACAGGCGCAGGCCCCCCCGGGGCGTCATAATGAACCCGGGGGATGAGGGCGTGGTGGGGCGGGAGGACGGAGTGTCCGGCCGCGATGCGGGTGTGTCTGGACGGGAGCTCCCTCGGGAGCTTGGCTGCCCGTCCCTGTTTGTGGCTGTTGCCGCTGATGCTGCGGCTGCTCCCATGTGGTTGTGCATGGGGGGGTGGTGGTGGTGCGGGTGGTGAGGGTGCGAGGGCACTTCAACAGAGAAGCCCGGGCGCGTGGAGGAGGTTTCTCGCACCGACGTGGACCGCAGCACTGCAGCGCTGTTGCTGCTGCTGCTGCTGCTGCTGCCTTGCCGCCCCTGCCCTTGCCCGCACCGCCAGCTGCAGAGGCAGCGGAAGAGGAGGAGGAGGGGCGGGAGGGGGAGAGGTCACGGGAGGGCATTAGAATGTCCTCCATCTCGCGAGTCTGCTGCCACGGGTTCACATGCTGCTGCCTCCGTGCTGCTGCTGCTGCAAGTCCCATCGCCCCCAACCCTGGCCCCCCTGCTCCTGCTGGTAGTCGCGGTGATATCACCCGTGGTGACTGCACCTGCTCTGTTCCCACTGACTGCTGCTGCACCTGCCCCTGCTGCACCCGCCCCTCCTGCTCCTCTCCCTCGTCACGCCCACCCTTCTCTCCACTCATTTCCAAACTGCCCTTCTCACCCTTCAAGTCCCCTCCCTCTTCCTCCTCCTCCTCCTCGTCCTCATCCACAACAGCAGTGGCCCGGTCTAGAGGCGCCAGCGGCACCGCATTCACAACGTCATCGTCCAAATCCATTGACTCCTCCCTCCCATGCCTCCCCCCACGCCCCCCCTGCTGCTGCACCCCCTGCTGCGCCCCCTGCTGCCTCTGCTCCCACCCCCCCTCGCCCTGCTGCTGCTGCTGCTGCCCGGGCTGAGTCCCTTGGCTGCCTTGACTGCCTTGGCTGGGCAGAGTGGGGCGGGGGAGGGCGGCAGCAGGGGGGCGGGGATGTGCACGAGGGGCCTGGCGTCAACCACATCGTCCCCCATGTCCTCGCTTGCCTCTCTTGCGTGCCGCCTCGGCGATGCTGCTTCCTCCTGCCTGCCTTGACCCGCTTGACTCTCTTGACCTGCCTGGCCCTGCGAACCAGGTTGACCGAGTTGACTCGCTTGACCGAGCCCATGATGGTCGCGTGGTGGATCCGACAGTCGCCTCCTCACACCCTCACTTGCCTGCTCCTTCCACGAATCGTCCACCATATCAGCAAACATCACCCCGCGGGAACCACCTTCCTTTTGCGATCTGGATCGCGTCAGCTCCCCCCGCGCCCTCCCCCCACCCACTGCCCCCGCGCCCCCTGCTGCTGCTGCTGCTGCTGGTGCAGCTGCCCCGCCTGCGCGCTCCTCCCCCGCATCCCCTTCAAGGTCCCCTAGCAGCAGCCCGCGCCCTCCGCCTTCCCCGGACGACCTTGCTCGCAGCAGCGTCTCCCTCCCTCCGATACCTCTAGCCTCCCCCACGCCTCTCTCCCCCACGCCTCTCTCCCCCACGCCTCTCTCCCCCACGCCTCTCACCTCCCCCCTTCCCCCTTGCACCTCCTTATCGAGGTCTGCCCACCCCACCTCCCTCCGCCGCCCCACCGACACACTCCTGTCCTCCTCCCCCCCTCTGCCGCGCCTCTCATGCTCCCCTCTCTCACTCCTCTCGCTCCTCTCACTCCTCTCCCCCTCCCCCTGCGCCTCCAGCAGCCCAGCAGCACCTGACCGGCTCCGCAGCAGCCGCCCATTCTTCTCCTCGCCTCCCCCCTTGCCACCCCCGCCCCTCCCCACCGCACCCAACCCACCTGCCGCTTGCGCCCTCCCCGCCCCCTCCCGGCCTGCGCCCTCTCTTGCACCGCTATGCTCTCTGCCTGCCCCTCTCGCCAGCCCAGGACCATCCATGCTAGCGCGCCCTGTAGTGATCGCTCCCGCCCCCGCCCCCGCCCCCGCCCCCGCCCCCAACCCCAACCCCGCGCCCAGGTCAAGGCTCATATCCACCCCGCCAATCACAAAGTCAGACCGCGTGCGCTGGTGCCGCCCCCTCCCTGCCCTCCCTTCCCCTCCCGCCCCCCCTCTTCCCCCCGCCCGTACTGCCCCTACCCTCCCCCCTGCCGCTCCCCGTCCACCCCCTCCTCGCCCCCCCGCTGCTCCTGCTGCTGCTGCTCCAGCCGTTCCATCTGGGCCCAAGACTTGTGATCCCTTACCATCACCTGCCCCTGTCCGCCCCACCCCCCCATCCCAGTCATCCACTGACCCTCGGCCTCCCCTTCCCCCTCTCCCGCCTCTCCCTACCGCCCCCACCCCTCTCCCTCCCCCACCCTCCCTCACATCCACCCCCTCTCCCCCCACTCTTTCCCCCCCTCTCCCCCCGTCTCCCCCAACCCCAGTTCCCCACCGAAACCGCCCAGCACCAGTCCCCCTCTGTCCGCTGCCGCCTGTGCCCCCTTCCCCCTCCCCTTCCCCCTGCCCTTCCCCCTGCGCCCCCTCCCCTTCCCCCCATGCCTCCCACCTGGCCCCCCCTCTGCTGCAGCAGCTGCTGCTTCACCTGCTGCAGCCGCTGCTGCTGCTGCTGCTGCTGCTGCGCGCTCAGCTGCCTATGCACCTCCTCCCCCCCTTCCCCTGCAAGCAACAACCCTGCGCCCATGCCCCCTGCGCCCACTGCGCCCCCTCCCCCTCCCGTTCCCCCTCCTCCCCCTGCTGCTGCGCTGCTGTCTAGAAGGCTCCACGACTGCTTTAGCTTCTGCTGCTCCTCCGGGCTTAGCAGCGACAGCAGGTTGTTCAATGCCTGAGTTATGTCCACTGGCTTCCGCCCCGGACCTGCCGGCTTGCCATGGGCCGAGCCAAGGCCTCCCGGGCCTGACCCCGATGCAGTAACGGACCTGATAAGAGGCGGCGATGTGGAGGAGCCTGCCGAACCTGTGGATGTGGCAGGTTCGGCGTGAGGCCTGGGGAATCTGTTGCGACTGGAAGGTGCTATTGTAGGATCGGAGTAAACCGGGCCTACAGGTGCGTTAGGTCCGGCAGTGGAAGCACTTCGCGGGAATTTGGATAGCAAGGGGGGGGCGGCAGAGGAAGCAAGGGAGGAAGAGGCGAAGCTAGAAGCTGATGTGATGGAGGAGGGGGAGGACATGGGGGGGGAGGAGGGGCGCATGCTGGGGGACGGTGGGCGGATGGACGGGGAGGGGGGGCGAGGGGAGGGGGATGGAGGGCGGAGGGAGGGGGTGGAAGAGCGGGGGGACGGGGAGGAGGGGCGTATGGAGGGGGAGGAGGAGCGCAGGGAGGGGGAGGAGGGGCGGAGAGAGGAGGGGGAGTGGTGCGGGGCGGAGGGCGCAGGGGGGGCGAGGCGAGGAGGGGTGGAGTTGCGGGCGGCGTGGGGGGGGAGGGGGGCGCGGGACTTGTCTGAGAAGCGCCTCTGCAGGCGCGACTCACTGCCACTCAGCTGCTCGGGGGACAGGGAGATGGCAGCAGATAGATAGGGGAACGCGGTGAGTGAGAGAGAGTCAATGGTGGGTGGGAACAAACCAAATTGGATAACAAGAAAAGCAAGAGCGAGAGAGAGTGGCCAGTAAAGTCCACCCAAAGGGAACTTACGACACAGAAAGGGAAAGGTATTGCTGCAAATGGTGTAGCAGAAAGTGCCATGGTCAGGTGTCATGTGGCGCACTCACCTCCCCACTGTTGGACCCAGTGAAGTCAAGCTGCTGCACCACGTCCCTCCCCCTCTCCCCCTCATCCCCTCTCCCTCTCTCCTCTCCCTCCCCCTCCCTCTCTCTCTCCCTCTCCCTCTCCTCCTCCCTCTCCCTCTCTCTCTCCCTCTCCCTTCGCTGCACGCCCTCCCCTCCCTCCCCCGCCCCTCTTCCTCTTCCTGCTCCTGCTCCTCCCGCTGCGCCCTTATCCGGCGTCCTTGACTTGACAAACTTGCGCCATTTAGACACGATGTTCTTGGCAGCATTCTCCACGGGGGAAGAGTCCCCTCCGCCGCCCTTCTGCCCCCCATACCTCTCCCGCCCCCGCCGTTCCTCCCCATACCCCTCATCCACACTGCCACCCACCCCCCCCACCTCCCCTCCCTCTGCTCCCCTGCCTCCGCCCGCCCCTCCGCCTCCCCGTCCTCTCCCCCCCATTCTACCCCCTGGCCCCACCCTTCCGCCCATACCACCCTCCCCTCTCCCCCCTCCTGGCACCCTCTGCTGCGCCGCGCTCTTCTGCCCGCCATCCATCTCCCCCTGGTTCTGCCACACCTGCGCCTGCTGCTGCTGCTCCCGCGCCTCCAGTGGCTGCTGCCATGACATGCGCCGCTGGTGCCCCCGCCCTGCCCCTGGGGGAGCGCCAGCGCGGAGACCAGCGCCATGGGGGGCCGCCGCGCCCCTCTCCTCTCTCCCCTGCGCACCACCACCACCACCAGCAACAGTTGCAGTAGCAGTGGAACCCTCCTCCCCCTCGCTCTCTTCCCCTCCCCACACCTGCATCACATCCGCCCCTCCTTCCACCCCTCCTCCCCCTCCCCCCGCGCCTCCCCCTTTCCCATGCATCCGCACGTTCTGCAAGCGCCTCCCCACGCCCCCCTCCCCTCCGCGCAGCATCCCCTCTATATTGGACGACGTGCGAGAAGCTGCCGACAAAGGCCGCCCACTGCCGGCCCAAAGTTCCCCCCCACCACCTGCGCCGCCCCCCCCCTCTCCCCCCCCACCCCCTGACATCAACCTACTGTTACTGCCATGCTGCTGCGAGTGCTGCTGCTGCTGGTGATGCTCCCCAGGGGCATGGGGGCGCGGGGGAAAGTCCTTCTTGGGCACGGTGGGGGGAGTTCCAGGGCGCCGCGAGTCAATCTTGTGCCGCCACTTGCTCAGCACCTGCCGCGCCAGTGATGACTCCCCTCCCCCCCGCCCCCCTCCGCCTGCCCCTCCGCCTTCCCCCCTGCCTAGAGCGCCACTGCTGGTGCTGGGACGCGGGTCCCCTGGGGATCTAGGCTCAGGGTCGCTGTTAGCCCGGTTGAACAGCCGCTGTCGGGGGGTGCCCGCACCATCCATGCCTATGCCCCCAGACGCAGCAGCCGCTGCAGCCGCAGCAGAAGCAGCAGCACGGTCAGCAGCGTCAGCCGCGTGTTCAGCAGCGTAGGCAGAGGCGGAAGGAGCAGGGGCGGCAGTGGCGGGGCGCTCTGTTGCCCCTCTCCCCGCCCCCACACTCATCCTCTGCGCGCCTTCAGACGCCTCCTCGCTCCTGCTGGCTGGTACCCCTATCGTTCTCCACCTTCCTGAACCCCTTCCCACCTCTCCCCTCCCTTGCAGTCCCCCCAACCCTCCCCCCCCCACTTCTCCCCCAGGTGCCCCTATCCCCCCATTCCCCCACTTCTCTGGGGACACACGGCTGCTGGTGCGCGGATCAACCCCCGAGACAGTGCGTCTGGGGGGAGTCCGCGGAGCAACCCCGCCCAGCCCCGCCTCCCCCTCCCCCATCCCTGCTCCTCCCTCACTCGAGTGCTCTGAAGGTTCCTGGTAGGAGGAGGAGGAGGGGAACCAGCCTGCGAGGCTCATAGGGGAGGCGTCAGGCGGCTGGTTCCAGGGGAGGTGGGATCTGGGGTCGAGGTCTACTGAGGTTGAAGGGAGGTGGGACCTGGGCGGGTGGTGGGATGGGCGGGAGGGGAATGACGGGGTTTGGTCGGGGGGTTGGTGGTGGGTGTGGGAGGAGGAGGGGAAGGGAAAAGACACGTCTCCGGTGCTGCTGCTGTCGCTGTGGGAGTTGGGCAGAGCGAACGCAATCGCCATGTCGTCAACGGGACGCGCGTTTGCAGACTCTGATTCCGATTCCGCCCCTCTAGGGACGTCTTTAATCGCCTGCTTAGACGCGCTGCCTGTTTGGTTGGTTCCGCCGGCTATTGAGGTTCCGAAAGGGACTGGACTGGGCAGCTCAGACTTTATACTCGTGAAGAACATATTCGTTATGCTGTCCGGCAGCATGCTCAGCACATCCCCAACCACTATCTCCGGCCCACCTGCCCCGCTTCCCCCTCCCTGCGCCGCTCCCCCTGCACCCTCCCCGCTGCGCACCCCCGCTCCCCCTTTTGCCCCCCCCCTCCCCGTGCCTCCCCCCTTCCCTGTCCCGCGCTCCCCTTCCTCTTCCGCGTCTGAAGCTTCGGAGCTGGAGCGGGAGGGCGCCTGCTTGACGGGGAACGGACGCCCGAGCATGTCAGTCGCACCAGGGGATCGGTTCTTGGGGCTTACCGCCAGGAATCCCGTACTCCCCATGCGATCTAGCCTCAATCGCGGAGGGGTATTTCCAACTTTAGCTCGCGGGCCCGCGCTGGCTGCATGCTGCGGTTGGGGGGGCATCATGGGGGAAAGGTGGCTCCGCTTCGGCTCGAAATCCGCTTGCGCGGAAGACCCGTCTCTTCCTCCGCGTCCGCTTATGGGCTTCGCGGGGCTGCCATCCCGCAAGCCCCCCATCCTCCCCTCACCCGCGTTCTGCGCCGATGGCAGCGCGAGAGCTGCGCCGCTGCTGGCCCTCCGCGCATGGTGCACCCTCGGCGCGCTGGTCGAGCGCTCCGCCCCCTCTTGCAGGCCCTCCGCCAAGCCTTGCGCGTTCCGCGCGCGCGGAGCGACCTGAGGGGAGCCGTGCGGAGCTTGCCCGTGCGTCTGTCGCTTCAGCACCTGCTGCTGCAGCGGCGGATGCTGCGGCGGTTGCTGCGGCGGGCGCTGCTGCTGCTCGTTCGACCCCGCCTTTCGCGGCGGCCCTTGCGGCTGCTGCCCTTGCCGCAATCTCGACCGTTCGTGCTGTTGAGATTGCGCGCTCACGCGACCTCCAGCCGTCGACTGCTGCCCGTGCGGGCTTTCCTCCGTCTCCGTTCTCTCGCTTCGCCATTCCTCACGAAAACGAGAAGTAACTTCCTCGCCCCCGCTACTGCACTCCTCCTCCCGCGTCTCTCCTCGCGTTTCCCGACTCGGCGGCCTATCCTCTTCCCGCAATTCCCGGTCTGACGACCGATTGTCACGTTCTGACGTGGAGCTAGCAGCTGCTGAGGTGGCTGCGGTGGCTGCGCCGCGTTGCGCCCTCTGAAGGGCGTCCCATACAGTGCTGCGCTCGGGGGCGGAAATATTCGACTTTAACGAGCGGCCCCCGCTACTAGAACTTCGGCTGCTGTCAGAGGCTGTAACGGCGGCGCCAGTGGCGGCCTGTGGAGCTCGGTTGGACCGTAGCGCGCTCGAGATACCGCGAAACACGGAGCGATGCTTCGTGGCGACAGGTGGGGTCTCCCGCGCGACCGACTGAACCTGCTCGAGGCCTCGTTCTCCTCCCATCTCATCCCCGCTGCCCTCGCCGCTTGTCCCTGTAACGGGAATTCTTTATCGGGGATGCTCATGTACCAATGTCTGAAAGCATTGCGCCATAGTTGTCAACACAAAAATACTTAATTAGGGTTCGCGCCATTACGGAAACAGCTGCTCCAGGCGCACGTGGTGGTTATAAAGTTTCTACCTAAAAACACATGTAGCGGTTTCACCTGCTTCCCTGCCTCGTATCAGTCACACCCGTCCGTACTCCCCTGGGGCATCCCACCCCACTACTGCTTTATGTCAGTCATGCTACGTTCCTTTGGGTTCGGCTATTTTTGGTTGGGTTCTTACCGGTGGGGCTGGGCTGGTTTGGGCGGGGCTGTACGCCTTTCCCAAGGCTACGCAGCTCAAATGTTTGTGTGGGTGCGGCGTGCAACTTGCTGTTCCTGGTTGCTGGTTCCGTTTTGTTGGTCCCTCTGTGCTGCTGCTGGTGGCGCTTGTTTCGTGCATCCCCCTCGGGCTTGTGGGACGATGAAATCCTCTTTACTGAATCGCTCATTTGCGATGAGGAAACGTAACGGCGCGCTATATTGTGCACTGGAAGCAGTCGAAAATGTATTACGCTGTAATCAACATACGCATGCTGGTACAGGAACATAATATTGACCAATTTTGGTGCACAGAAGCACAATTAGGGGGTTAAATACAAGGACGGCTGCAGCACAGTGTATGCATGGTACATATACGCTAAAACTTACACTAAGGCTTGTGAGAAACTACTGAATCCGCTAGCCACAAATGTATTCACAAATGGTAAACTAGATCCGCTCGGTCTGTAATAAATAAAATGTTGAATCACTCCACTTGCTGAATTGATGCTCTCAAGATAGTCTCATTATTGATACCTGCGAATCCATGGATGATCTGTTGGGTGAGGTGCAACACATAGGTGGTGAACTGAGGACAAGACGAACGAACACCAGGATGGAATGGCATGCCTACTCCAACAAAGACTAGAGAGGTGAAAACAAAGAGTACGAAGCTTTGCTTTACACCATGATGATTCATCATGCTCAGCTCTCTCAACATAACCTCTCCAGATCCTACATGTTTCCCTTACCTGATACCACCTCCTTTCTCATCCCATGCCATGTCAGGTTATCAAAGCAATACATGGCACCCAACACCTGACATCCCACCCTTCCTCTCCCCCAACCCACCCTCCTCACACTCACCCAGAATTTCCAGTGCCGTGATTCGCTCCCGTGGATCCTTTGTAAGCATCCTCCTTACAAGCTCCTTGCACTCCTCGCTTGCGTTAGCCCACTTAGCGGATTTGAAGCTCACGGAGCCCTTGAGAATCGCCTCCGCCACGCACTTGCGTGACGACGCCCAGAAGGGCGGCACGCCGCACAGCAGGATGTATAAGACGACGCCCGCCGACCAGATGTCGGCCTCTGGCCCGTATGACTGCAGCAGCACCTCTGGCGCCATGTACTCGGGCGTCCCCAGCACCTCTGTGAGCCGTTTGCCTGTGGGAGGTCGCAGCAGATTATATCAGATTGGGGAAGGAGCAACCTTGGTCAAAAGCATCTCTGGAACCACGTGCTTCCGGATGGCTGTGGCAGCAGCACGAGCAGGAACAGGGGCAGTGCCTACAACAACAGCAGCAGCGACGGCGGTCGCGCTGGCAGCAGTGGCAGCAGTGGCCCGAAAAGGGACTCACCGGGCTCAAAGAACGTGGCCACTCCAAAGTCGACCAGCTTGATCCTCGAATTCTCTGATCGGTCGCACAGCAGGATGTTTTCGGGCTTGATGTCGCGGTGCAGGATGCCGTGGCAGTGGCAGTGCAGCAGCGCCTCCACCAGCGCGCGGCACAGCCGGGCGGCACACTGCTCCGTCAGCCGCCCGCTGCTGCTCACCCGGTCGAAGAGATCGCCGCCCTGGCACAGCTCCATCACTATGTGGATGTTCTGGGGGGGGGGGGGAGGGAGGAGAGAGAGGGAGGACGGGGGGGAGGGTTGGGTGTGAGGAGAGAGGGATGAAAGAGATCGGCGCTTTGACCTGTGACATGGCTCCATCACTATGAGCATGTTGTGGGGCAAAGGGGGGAGTAGGGCGTGCGGAACGATGGGCTACAGAGGTCGCTGCTCTGACACAGTTCCATCACTGTGTGGATGCTCTGGGAGGGTAAAACAGGGGGAGGAGGACGGGGGGTTGGGTGCGGGGAGAGTAGTGGTGTGCGGGGAGAGACGGCAGGGAGGTCGCTGCTCTCCATCACAGTGAGGAAGTTCTGGGAGGGGAGGAGGGGGGGAAGAGAGGAGAGGGGTGTGAGGAAAAGGAAGAGAGGAGAGGGGTGTGGGGGGAAGGATGTGAGGGGAAGAGGGTATTGGATTGGGAAAGAGGATGATCGCTCTGATTGATTATGGGGTGGCTGGAAATCATTCATCTGATGCTCCAGCTCCAGCTACGGTTAGCGCTGCAACAAACCATTCTAAAACTGCATCTCGTTGCCTTCCCCCGTCCTCGGTATTCCCGCGTGGCAGCACGATCATGCACTCAATTCCAAGTCCATTTTAAAAAATCGACCCCCTTTCCTCCTCATTTTTCACGGTATATTTGAGAGTGACAATTGCGGGCTGCCTGCGCATTAAGAGACACACTTAACCTCATGACCCACTTAACCTCATGACCCACTTAACCTCATGACCCTCCTGCTGCCGTACCTCCTCGTCCTCCACGGTGCCTTTGAGAGCAACGATGGTGGGGTGGTAGCGCAATAACGCACTCAACCCTATTTTGAGACGTCACAAAACGCGATAACGCACTCAACCCTATTACCTACAAACATCTCCCCATACCCCCCTACCATCCCACCATCCCACCACACCACCATACCACCACCCCGCCACCGTACCTCCTCGTCCTCCACGGTGTCTCTGAGAGCCACGATGGTGGGGTGGCCGCGCAGCAGCGTGAGGCAAGCCACCTCCTTCCGGATGTCCTCCGCGTCCTCCTTCGACTGGAGGGGGTAGAGGGGAGAAGGGGAGCAGGGGAGAAGGGGAGCAGGGGAATCAGGCAAAGCAGGGGGGAACGTGAGGGACGGAGGAGCAGCAGCTTGAGGCAAGCCACCTCCTTCCGGATGTCCTCCTTCGTCTAGTGGGCAGGGCAGCGAGCATCAGGGCAGCGAGCATCGAGCGGGGAAGCAGGGGAGCAGGGAGGAATAGAGCAGGGGACGAGGTTGGGGGAAGAGAAGAAGCAGCAGCAGCGTGAGGCAGACACCACCTCGTTGCAAATGTCCTCCTTCGTCTGGTGGGCACCGGGAAGAGGGAAGACAGGGATGCAGGCGAAGAGGGAAGACAGGGATGCAGGCGAAGAGGGAAGACAGGGATGCAGGCGAAGAGGGAAGACAGGGATGCAGGCGAAGAGGGAAGACAGGGATGCAGGCGAAGAGGGAAGACAGGGATGCAGGCGGGAAGAGAGGGAACGAGGTTCGGGAGGTTTGGGAACGAGGTTCGGGAGGTTTGGGAACGAGGTTCGGGAGGTGAGGAGGAACAGTGTGAGGGGAAGCCTCTTTCGTCTGTGGGGTGTGACAGGGGAGCAAGGAGGGTAGGAGGGGCAGGCGGGCAGGGGAAGAGGGAAAGCGAGGACGAGGGGAAGCGGGGAAGCGGAGAAGCGGGGAAGCGGGGAAAGGGTGAGGGGGAGAGGAGCAGCGGGGATATGCCACCTCCTTTTGAATGTCCTCCATGCCACCGGGCAGAGGGGTGATGGAAGGGTGTAGAGGTGTGATGGATGGGTGTAGAGGGGTGATGGATGGGTGTAGAGGGGCGATGGATGGGTGTAGAGGGGCGATGGATGGGTGTAGAGGGGCGATAGATGGGTGTAGAGGGGTGATGGATGGGCGCAAAGATGAAGGGGGTGACGAAGAGAGGAGAAGGGGAGCAAGAGCACCGCCAGTGCTGCACCGCCAGTGCTGCACGGGGCACAACGCCAGACACATCCCTGAGTACTTTCCTCCTCGCTCTTTACGTTCGTTCCTATTCCAACCACCCTCTCCCTCTTTTGTTTTTTTTCTCTTTGAGTTGACTCAAACCATCCCTCTGTAATTTTTTCCGCTTTCTGTGAGACTCACCTGAATACATTTCTTGTTGATGGTCTTGCAGGCAAACACCTGCCCGGTCGCCACCTCCATGCACGGCCGAATGATTCCAAACTGCCCGCTGCCCAGCTCCTTGCTATGCAGAACAAATAGGCCTTTAATCTCCCCATACTCCTTCCTAAGAACGTGGTCTCGTGGGGGCAGCCCCTCATACTGCCCGAAAACATCTTCCACGTTGCCCGAAAAACTCGCTGGCTTGCGCACGCCCGCGCCCAGTGTAGCGTTCAGCTGCCGCCCCTGCTGCTGGCGGTGCGGCGCCACCACCTGAGAAAACACCTGAGGAACCACCTGGTGCTGCGGGCGAGCCTGCTGCTGTGTCTGCCCAGATTGCCCCATGTGACCTTGTGCCCTGGACTCATTCAAATCCATTTTCTCTGCAACCCCTTGCTGTTGCTGCTGCTGCTTCTCTCGCTGCTGCTGCTGCTGCAATAGCTGCATCAGCTGCTGTTGTTGCTGCTGTTGCTGCTGTTGAAACAGCGCCTTGGAAACAGCCGCAGCGTTGGGAGCAGCGGCAGTGTGAGGGGCAGGGGCAGCAGCAGCAGCAGCAGCAGGAGGCGAGGGCGAGGTGTTTGGATGCCTCGGCAAGAGCAGCAGACATCACCAGCCTGTCGCCTGCAAACCCTGAGATGGACGACGACGGCCGGTGCCTCCCCACCACTCCCACTCCGCCCCCAATGCCCTCGCCTCCCCCCCCTCCCCCCGCGCCCGCCCCTCCTCGCCTTCCCCCTGCCCCTGCGCCCCTAGCTACTGCGCCCGCCCCTCCTGCCACAGGCCCCAAGGCGGGTTGGTTGAGCAGCCTCGCGAGGCTGGGCGGGGAGACATGATCCAGGTGGTACCCGGACAGGCGCAGCTGCGCCTGCAGCGCCACGTGCTGCTCCCCGCCCCCGCCCCCCGCCCCCCCCGCGCCCCCGCTGGCGCTGGCGCGCTTGAGCGTCTGGCGCAGGGGGCCTGCGGGCTTCAGCGCCTCCCCCGGGTTGCTCAGCACGAAATCCGCGCTGCCTGTGCGCCGGTGACGCGCCGCTCTCCTATTGGCTGCTGCTCGCGCTGCTACCGCGGAAACGGGAGACGCGCCACCTAACGAGGCGCCTCCTGCTGCGGTTGCGGCGGCCGCCGCCTCCGCTGCTGCTTTCTGCGCGCGAGCTGCTGCTGCCACGTCAGCAGCAGCGGCGGCAGATGCGGAAGCGCGCGCGGCCGCGGCAGCAGCGGCGGCGGCGGCAGAAGGCGAAGAGGCATTGTGCATATACCCTCCCAGGGCCCCCCCCGCCTGCAGCTCCATCCATTTCTGGGCAATCTGGGTAATTTCCCCTGGAGAAATCCCGACTGGAGCCCCTGCTGCAGACAGAGCAGCAGCTGCTGCAGCGGAAAGCGCGGAGGCATAATCACCGCTGCCCCCGCCGCTGCTGCCTCCGCCGCTGCCCCCACCGTTATTCACGCCGATTCCCGCGCCAACGCCACTGGAGGAGGCGGATCGATGGCCCGTCGACACCCTCTGCTTCACAGGACGGTTGCACACCCCCGCATCCCCGTTACCAGCTCCCCCGTTACTAGAACCCGCGAAACCTGCACAGTCACCTGCGCCTTGGCGCCTACCTGAGATTTCACCTGAAAGCCCACCTGAACCCACGGCGCCTCCTGAGGGGTCCCCAAGGGACATGTGCGAGAGGGCGCGCATGTCCTCTTCCCTCAGCATCGCGCTTCCCCGCCGCTTCAGCTGCTCCGCGCGCTCAGACGCGGCCCCCGGGCTTGCTCCGCCTGATCGCATTACTGCGCCAACCGCGCCTCTCCCTGACCTGTCCGCGTGGCTCGCTGCTCCCGCCAGACCTGCGCCTTGCGCTGCTGGTCCGCCAGCTTGCGGGAGCGGGGAATTTCCCCTCAAGGGGGAATCTCCGCCTGCCGCGGAGCGTCCTTGCGCGGCCCCCAACTCCATCTGCAGTTCCGAAATCCCTATTGCGCGCCCCTGCCGCTTCCCCCCTCCCTGCTGCTGCGCCTGCCATTGCTGCTGCTGCATCGCCGCTGCTACAGCCGCTGCCGCCTCCGCCGTAGCAGCCGCACCCGCCGTGTCCCCGTCTGCAATCATCTGGGCGGCAGCCAGCAGCCGCGCATGCAAGTCCTGTACGGCGCGGCTCGCACTGTTCACCACGCGCACTCCCGCGGGCGAAGAGCTCCTCCGCGGAGAGGCTCCCCGCGGCGTCGCGGGTCCGCTTCCCGCGGAAGCGGCGGCCACGAGCGCCGCTGCGGCGGACGGCGCTATAGGCTGCGCGGGTGTGTGGCGCGGGGAGGGGGGCGGGCGGGAGAAGAACGCGGGGCGCGGGGAGGAGCTGCCCTCGAGCATGTCAGCGGAGAAGTTGTGCTGGAGGAGCGCGGAGGCGGCGGAAGCGGAGGCTGTGCGCCGATGGGACGGGCGCGCTGGCCGCGGGGTGGCGATGGGCGCGCTGCCGCGGGAGGGGGAAATGTGGCCTGGCGCGCCGTTTTGCGGGGGAGAAGTTTGCGACGCGTGCGGATTGAGAGGCGCGTGGAGTTGCTTGGGGGAGGGCAGCTGGGGGCGCTGTGCGAAGGGCACGTGCGACGTGCCGCCGAAGTCGCCGTGAGGCGAGTGCGACACGATTACGTGGTCGTAGCTGTCGAGCGACGACGATCGTGGAGACCGATGGGACGGCACAGAGGACGGCACGACGGACAGCATGGCGGACGGCACTGCGGACGGCACGCTCTGTTGAGAATAGAGCTGCCGCGCTTGCTGCTGTGGCTGCTGTTGGGTCTGTTGTTCTACGCACGAGTCGCGCTCTTGCGGGTGTTCCTCCCGGTTGTGTTGCGATCGACCGTTGCTCGGAAACTGCTGCTGCGACAAATGTTTCTGATCCTTCGGAATCTGTATCTGTAACGTGTCTGCTTCTAGCGAGTCAGGCTGGATATCCATCCGATTCGAACCTCCCGCGCTAAGCAGCTCGGAAAGCGGGGATGGTGCAATTGCGCGCTGCGAGCCGCCATGCGCGGAAAGCTGTTGGCGGGAGCGCATGGGGGATCGCGGACAGCCCCCGTGCGCCAGGTTGAACGGGTTTACTGGAAGGCCCGCGCCAGCTACTACGCCACTAGACACACCAGCTGGTGAACCCGCGCGCTGAGCGGACGGTATTCCGCCGCCCGCCAGTGCGCGCGGGGAGTTCCGCGTAGCGGGTCCCAGGTACAGTCCGGTGGCGGGATGGTCGGGGGAGCTTGTCGAGGAGGCGGTGCCTGTGGCAGGTTTAAAAAGGCGGGGGGAGGGGGAACGGGAGCTCCGCCCCCCATCGGCAGGGGCAAACCCGCCCCGCGCGAAGGACTCTAGCGGAGTGGCGGAAGCGGACGAAGCTTGCGCGGAGGTGGAAAGCGATTGAAACGTGGTCAGCGGACTGAGCTCTCCGCGGTTGCGGCGGGAAAAAAGGGAATTCGAGTCCCGCCTGGGAGGCGACGCGGTCCTACTAGGAGCAACTTGGTAGCCACTTCGAGATTCGTAGCTCCCCGCGTTGGACGGAAAGCGAGGCTCGCAAGAGGTCGAGGAGGATCCAGCGTCGTGGTCTTGTGAGGGCGACTGGGGTGAACGGCGAGGCATGCGGTCAGGGCTGCCAATTTGATCCATGCTCGCGTCAGCAAGGTTAACAACGTTGGGCGGGTCTTGGCACGGCGCGTGGTACTGCGCCGCGCGGAATTGAGGCTCTATGTCCATGGCTTGGGCTGTGCCTACGGCCGCCATATGCATTCCTGAAGCTAAGGGTGTGTAGAGGGACTTAGAATCAACAAAAATACCTAGTGGAACATTTAGAGTTGTAGCCTATTAGGGAGCCACAAAAGGTACGGAGAGTGGTGTGGAGTCATAATGGAGAAGCGTTCAGAAATGGAAAGTGGGCGTCTTGTTTCACAAGGTTCAGCTGGGTTAGGTAGATGGGATGACGGAAACCGTTGACGGCGATCGCGGTTGGCCTCTGGCCTTGCCCAGCCCGTCCAGCCATTCTGCTTCGGAGGGAACTCAGGCGTTTTACATAAACATCGAACAAACTTCAGTGGGAGGGAGGCCAGTGGGAGAAGAGGTCACACTGACCAGGGGGCAGGTGGTGCGGTGGCGATGAAAGGGGCGGATGGCGGGGATGGAGTGGAGTGGAGCAGGCAGGAGCAGCAGACCAGAGGTCGTGGTGCGAAATTGGATTCTCTCAACCTGGCAGCCTTACCAGCTGACCGAATCCAATCTCTGGTCGTTGGGAACCTCGTCGGCCTTCTTGACGACACGTCACACGGTAAAGGTAAAGTAGGGGGATGAACCCCTTTGGTGTTACCCCGACTGTCATGTACCCACCTATCCATTGTTTACACGCCTTGCTGGGGAACGAGGTTGTTCCATCCACTCCCAGATGAGCACCTATGTAGCCCATTTTAGCTCGTGTCCCTAGGGATGACATGTCGACAATGTGCGTGTCATCCGAAGCGCATTCGAATTAGAGTCTCAATTTCTGTAGTTAAAGTGTCAAGTCGAAGCGCATGTATGAACATTAGCGACGCAACTTCATTGGTTTGAGAATTTGTCATTTGTAGGTCTCCTAGGGAGCGAACGATTCAACAGACGGCTAGTAGGAGACGGTGTCTACTGATTGGGCAGCATCTGGTCGCGAGATAGGTAGCTGCGACAATCTTCTCTCGTTTGTAGGTATGATTGTGTCTACCAATTTCAAAGGTGTCCGAAGATTTATATTGGCTGGCAACCTGCACTTTCTTGACACTGTGCCAACAATGTTGGCTGAGTGTCAAAATTAGTGCCAGACAGTGCCACTTTGACATGTCATCCCCCCCAGACACGACCTTAGTGGGGCTGGCAGAATACGCCACAGGGGGATTTGTATCCCGGGACCTCATCTTTTGGGAGTGAACCAGCTAACTAGCTGGGGCACTTCAGAGAACACGTCCACGACACGATACGACACGGGCCAGACGACTCCCCATTGAGATCGCAACAGCTCGCTATTCTTGCGAGCGAAGGTTTGACTGGTGGAAAAGCTGTGTAACTCAAGGTCGGCAATTTCGTGAACGCGCGTTTGTGCGTTTGCGACAGGTTGCTAGCCACTCTCGCATTGAACTGGTGGGGGCCACAGTTGCGACCATTCCATTGCACCCCATCCCAGTTTCCGGGGCGCGATATCCACCCTGATTTTTTTATTTTTTTCCAAGAAAATCCCGAGTTGTGATGTGAGCTGTTACACAAAACGAGGAAATGGACTGTACTACCTTGCTGCGCGCCAAACTGCTGTCACCAGTGCCGTGGTGGAGGGAGGTGGCGAAAGCACGAGGGAGGGCTGTGGTTGGTTGCGAACGGCAATCTCCCAAACTGATGTCGTCACGTGAAATCAGGCCAACGGAAACGGAATGTACACAGCCGCACAGCACATGGGGAGATGCATACTCGACTGTGAAAACGACGAATGGTGCTGTAGCCACACTTCGTGAATTTACTTGTTGGAACTGTACGCTGCGTGCACTACAGTACACAGCAGCATCCTCCCACCTGCGAGGAGTCAGTCGAGCATGACGGACACCGTCTAACCAAACGACGACGTGGAATAGGCACTTGGGGTGTACACGTCAAACAAATTATTCAATCCAGAGATGTGGGTTCAAAATTGAGATATAACTGCTTAGGTGGAGAAACAAAGCATATGGTAGTTATGTGCGGTGCAAGGTGTTGGCCCATGCAATTTAGACAGAGACATAAATAATCCACCACGTATGACACCGTCACGCAAGTGGCCCTCCATAATGGTATGAAATATATCTATGTTGTAACATGCACAAGCATTGTCCCTGGACAAATGTAGGGCTGCACGAGGAGTTTCCTGTACGGGGGAATACACGTTATGCAAGCTCCACCCCTATTTCAAGTTCAATTGGCAAAACGTTTTACCTCCCCCAGTTAAGTACAAATTAGCTAATGGTGGACATATTATCACACATCAATTAGTAGTTATTTTCGAGGTGCCCGCCTAGCAGCGTGCTTCACGTATCCCCCAGGTCACTCACACGAGCATCCGGATGAACGACCCACACAACCCCTGTCCTAGCCCAGAGCCACCCCTTCCACAGCAGGATGCCAGAACGACGCACCAAGCATGGACTTCCCCTGCCACAGCAGCTGCACACCCCCCAACGGATGACTCACCACCGAAAACCCCTTGGAATACGGCGCAAGCATCTGCCCCAGCGCGGCCATACTCCTCCGGGAAAACGGCTTGGCGGCAAACCCAATCCGCTGCATCCTCTCATGCAGCTGATCCAGCGTTTCGGCGCGCACCAGCCTCTGCAGCCCCTCGCACGCGACCAGGTTGATCATTTCCCTCGCGAGCACTCGCTCCTCGAAGCCGCGGCGGCCGAAGGAGGCGCGCGAGGCGAGGTGCTCGTGGGAGTGGAAGACATTGGAGAAGAAGTCGAGGCAGTCGCGGAAGCGGTGCAGGAAGAAGGGCTGCCGGTGGTTGGCATCCCACTCCACTATCGTCACCACCTTGGGCGCTAGCTGCAGGATGGTCTGTAGGGATGGGTGGAACCAGAGCAGGGGAATTCAAAAATTGGTAGGTGAGAGGAGGTTAAAAAAAGGGTCATTGGCAGTGTCAACGGGAAAAAGGGGGAGAATGGAGAGAAGTAACAGTTTCCAAGAGGTCCAGGTAAATCACTGGAGGGAGGGAAAAAAAGGAGAGGGGGAAAAACGGGGGGAGTGGCGGGGTGAGAGGGAGGAAGAAGCATACCGAGAGGGCAGTGTCCTTGGGGCTGGAGCGCAGCACAGTGGAATCCGCCAGATTAGCCAACCGCCCCGCACAGTTCACCACCACGGCCTCCCCGCGCTCAATCCCCAGCATAAGCGGCCGCAGCGTCTCAGGCCGCGCCTCCACGCGGTGGAAGCTCAGCGCCACTCCGCACTCCGCTGCTGCGCCGCTCACCTCCGCCTGCAGAAACGGAATGGGGATCTTGGGACCCGCGCCCCAGGGATGGCCGGGAGGGGGTTCGACGGCGGTGTAGCGGATGTGGAGGGGGAGCGGGCCCGTGCACGTAGGGCATGCGCTGCTGCTGCCGCCGCCGTTGCTGTTGCTGCTGCTCCTGCTGCCGCTGCTGCTGCTGGCGCCAGTGGGGTCAGCAGCGCCGACAGCAGTGCAGCAGTGGGTGCAGCTCTCGCGGCGGCGGCGGGCGGCGGAGGCCGCCAGCTGGCGGATGACGACGGGCCACTGGCCGCCCCACATGGCGAAGTCGACGATGTGCACGAGGGGGTCGTGCTCCACCGCGTCCACGATGCCGCACGCCATGGTGGTGTAGCAGTGCTGCATGAGTGGGTTGCGTGCTGCAAAGGCAAGGATCAGCGCCTCCTCCTGGTTCAGAAGGTTCAAGGGGTGGGTGGGAGACAAGAAATGGAGAGAAAATGAGAGTCAGAGAAGGACCGAGGGTGCTCCAGAGCGACCGTGATGCCGCACGCCATGGTGATGTAGCAGTGCTGCATCAACGGGTTGCGCGCTGCAAATGCGAGTATCAGAGCCTTCTCCTGATTGGGAAGGGGCAGGGGGTGGGAGACAAGAAACGGAGAGAAAATGAGAGTCAGAGTGGGACCGAGGGTGCTCCAGGGCGTCTTTTGATTTGAGACGTGTCAAAAGTGCTCCAGGGCGACCGCGATGCCGCACGCCATGGTGGTGTTGCGGTGCTGCATCAGTGGGTTGCACACCGCGAATGCAACGCCTGCTGCTGGTGGCGGGGGAGGACAGCGGGTGGGAGACGGGAGGATGGTGGGAGGACGAGGGAGAGGAACGAAGGCCGACGAGGAAGTGGGCGAGGGGGTTTACATGGGTAAAGCGTGGTCAATGGGAACGAACGAAAGGAGAGAAGGAAGAGAAAGAGAAAGTGGGGAGCGCAAGAGAGGGGCTGACTCAGGGAAGAAATGAACTTGCATGGTGCAGAGTCAGCAAACCTAACAGCTCCATGCATCATGAAAAGAGGGTGTTTTTTGAGTCGACTCAAAAACACCTTCGTTTCACAAAGAGTCAGCAAACCTAATCACCCCATGGCATGCCATGCCATGCCATGCCATGCACACCCCACTCACCTCGGCAGTCTGCAGCGGCTCCACCACGTACTCCTCCCCGAGGCTCCCCGACGCGCGCTTCCCCAGTGCCCCCAGCAGGTAGTGCACCACGCGCTGCATGGGCGTGCCATGGGGCGTCGCGTCCGCGCGCAGCATGCTCGTCAGCGCCGCCATCTCCCCCTGCTCGCTGGTGGCCACCGCCTCCGCCAGGCGCAGCTGGCGCGCGCGCAGCTCCGCGTCCGACGCGGAGGGCGCGTGCACCGCGCGCACGTCCTCTGTGCAACCGAATATGCTGGGGGAAGGCGGGATAGCCGTGATGCGCGGGAGGGGTGCGGCGGGTGGGAGGGTAGTGGCGGGTGGGAAGGCTCTGGCAGGGGTGGGAACAGGAGCGCAGACGAAACCGGGCGGCGCTTGTTGCGCGGATGCCGCCCGGAGGGCCTCCCAGATGGGGAGGTTTTTGTCCGCGGAAGGAAGCTTCCCGGCAGCAGCGAGGTAATGCTGCAGTTCTGGGGTGAGGGTTACGGACGGCTGACCCCCTGCCCTGCCCGCCTGTGCCTGCAGCAGCTGCAGCTGCTGCCCCTGCTGCCCCTGCTGCCCCTGCTGCCCCTGCTGCCCGTGCTGAACCTGCTGCGCCTGTTGCGCCTGCAACCCCTGTTGCGCCTGTTGCACCTGCTGCGCCTGCTGCAGCGCGTGCAGCTGCGCCTGGTGCTGCGTGTGCGCGCGCATGGCATCCAACGAAGCCAGCAGCGACGGCTCCATGCGAAGCCGCACCTGCGAAACCATGTCCATGTCCGTCGCCAGAGGCTTTCGCGAATTCGCCAACAGCTGCGTTACCATGTCCGCGTCCGTCGCGGAAGCCCATCCCGCCGTCCCCCCCGTCATCCCCACCACCCCGTCCATTCCCCCCGAGTCCGCCGCCATCCCCGCAACCCCCGCCAAGAACGGCGCTGCTGCCCTTTCGGCAGCTGCTTCCGCAGCTCCGCGGGGTGGCACACTGGCGGAAGCTACTGGCGCTGCCGCTGCCCTGTCAGCCGCGGTGAGGGCGCGCTCGAGCGCGCGGCTTTCGGCGGCGCGCATGGCGGGCATGCTGTCGAATTCGAACTCGCGGTGGAACGCGGAATCCACCAACGGTCGCTTGCATGCCGCCTCCTGCTGTTGCTGCTGCTGCTGCTGCTGTTGTCGCTGTTGCTGCGGCTGCTGCTGCTGCTGCTGCCCGTTCGTATGCTGGTGCTGATGCATCTGTTGCTGCTGCAGCTGCTGCAGCTGTTGCTGTTGCTGCAGCAGGCGCAGATATTCTATCAACCGCTGCGCGTCGCCCTGCCCTGGACCCTGGCCTATCCGCTGCACCAGCTGCTGCACCTCGTTCGCATTCCCCGTGCTCCCCTGCGCCACCTGCGGCGCCATTGGCCGCCGCAACACCATTTCTTGCTGCTGCTGTTGCTGCGGCTGCTGCTGCTGCTGCTGAGGCTGCGGCTGCTGTTTATCAGCACGGGGCACCAAGGGTTGCACCAGCGAGAGAGACTGCTCCAGCAATCGCTGCTGCTGCGCTGCCAAACCGGGAACAGCCTGACTCTGAACCTGCGCGGCTAACTTCCGCGCTTGCGCCAAGGCTTGCGCCTGCCCTTGCTCTTGCGCCTGCCGTTGCGCGTTCGCCTGGGCTAGCGCGGCGGCCTTCTTCGCGCGCGATTTCTGCGCCTGCATTCGACACACGCTCGCGAGGCGCTGCGTCAGATCGACCGGCTTCACCACTCTGGCCGGCTGATCCTTTAAAACGTTCTCGCCCTGCTGTTGCCGCTGCTGCTGTTGCTCTTCATCACCGCATTTTGCGCTGGCACTGCTTCCGGTGCCGTCGCTGCTCCCGGCTGACGTAAGCGCTTGAGACCGGGATGCGAGCGAACCAGTTGCGATGGTTTCGCGAACTTGCACGTGGTTTTTCGTCGCACTGGCGACGCTCTGCGACGCGGCCTCCTGAAGAGATTGCGAACCCGTTTCGTGCCGCGAAGCTTCGCTGCATCGGCAGCGCGGGAACTTCTGACACCTAACAGAGCTTCCGCCGCGAGTCCCGCTTTCACAAACTGACGCGACGGAACGACAGGGGAAACTGCCGCTCAGCGACCCGCACGAAACTCCGTCGCCAGGCCTCTTCGCATCCGCGTCGGCGACATGAACGTCATCACAGGCCTGAGTCGGAGCTTTGGTTTGCGTAGTATGACCTGAATCGGACGAGGCCTTCCGTAGAGTCGAGCTCAGAGGAGCGCTTAGAAGGTCTAGATTCCATTCCACCGACGCCGCAGCAGCCGCAGGAGTAGGAGCAGCGGCAGAGGTAACAGCAGCAGTAGCAGCAGTAGGGGGAGGAGCAGCACCAGCACCGCTAGCAGCAGCAGCAGTAGCAGGAACGAGGGGAGCGCCGGCACGAGTCTTTTTATTTCGTCCCTGGTTCTGAATCTCAGCCTCCTGCTCCGGTGCCACTGGTTGTGGAGGTTGGTGAACACCTGGTATGAGGAGCACGAAAACAAAGGGTGAGAAAATGAAGGGACTAAAAAAAAAAAACAAAACAAAACAAAACAAAACAAAAAAAAAGGCTTCATGCCAGGAAATCGGTACATTGATAAGAAGCATAGCACGGAAAACAACCGTATTTACCTTTTGTCAAAGGAATCCCGGCGGCAGCAGGGTCAGGCGTATGAAAATCATCGGGCTGAAACAAGTTATTTCTGATACCATCAAATCCCGACGATGGGAAGAAGTCCTCCGCAAATCGAAGCGCGGGGTCCGCCCATGCTACCGGGTCGTGAATCGCCGCGTCGCCGGTCAGCAATCCGTCGAACATCGGGTCTTCGAGGAAGGGAGTAGCACAATTAAGTCCAGGTCCGATTTGAGCTAGAGCGTCGCCGTGATTGTCGCTGCTGTGCATCTGAGCCGCCTTGACGAGCTCGTCCGTCGATGGAAAGCGAGCGTCAGGATGTTGTTTTCCATCGATGCTGCCGTAATGTCCGCCAACTTCCACACCTCGCCCGCTCCAGCCGTTCGTGGGATTGTCCACGCCACGACTAAAACCGTCCATGAGAACCATGGAGCCGGGGAAATCACCCTCACTAGCAGGCCACGCTGCAGCCTCCGTGAAAATAATAGGAGCCATACAAAGGACCCTGTGATTTCTTGACAGGAACAGAATACTTTCTGACAATGATACGTCACTTCAAAGAATCATAAACGCCCACTCAAGGTTCTGCGGTGGCACTGTAGCCCGTGGCAATCCTAGATGATGGGAAACAGAGAAAAGCTCCCAGAGCCCAGGCGTGTACTGTTCGTGATACTTATGCGGTTCAGTTGGTTACATCGCGATTCGTCTCGGTCTAAAACGCCTACAACGGAAGCAGACCGTCATTTTGGGGATGGAAACGATCTTGCAAGTCCGACCTCGCAAAGAGAGGGGAGGGGACCTCCTTGACAGGAATTTGTCGGAGACGAGAGGCGGAGGACATCGAAACACAGCAGGTTTTGGCAATCTGACAACTACCCCGTACATATGTACAGAAAACCGTGCTGCCCAGACTTGTTTCCGTCCACCAAAAACATCAGCCACTCCACTCTCCTCCTCCCTTCCGCCGCACTGTACATCCTCTCTTCCTCTCACTGCTGTACTCGCTCCTCCCACCCGTCTCTCTTCGTCGGCTGCGTTCTATAGGCATTTCCCTTGGGAGGGAGGTGGAGGACGAGGGGAATTGACGAGGGTTCCGAAGCAGTTTCCCCTTGGAACCCCCCCCCTCGCCCCTCCGCTATAAACGAAAGTGGGAAATTTCGGTAGCTCGGTGCGAAGCTGCTGAAGGTTAATGACGAAAAAACAGCCAAAATTTCCACTGCATAGGAGTGGGTAGATAGAGCTGCGCGACATCAGAAAAAGGGTTGAAATTTGGAGAAGGGTAACCACTTTGAAATTGTGTGGTGCGCTCGTTAGGGTTTTCAATTCAGTTCGAGGAGGTTGGTGGCTTGTGTTTTTTTTACCTGTTGTCAGTTTGCTGCATCCCTGATTGGGCTACTCGAAGGAGGAGTTGTTTGCTTTCTAGGGTTCAGGTGTGGTGTTCCCTAACCCAGCGCCTCCCTCCCCCCCCGTCTGACATCCCGGGCAAGAGCAGTTTTCGAAAGGGGGGGTGAAGGAGGCATATTTTGCCAGAGAAGGAAGGTGGGAAGGGGAAATAGGCAGCTTCCCACGACCTCATATCCGCGAGGGTATGGCTGTTCTGTTGCCATTTACCTTCGTTTACGTTCGGAGGGTAAATGGGAGGCTCGGATCCATTTTCCGGGCTGACCGTTCGTTTACCGCAGTTGAGGGAAGGTTCCTCTACCGCCCCCCCACCTCTGTCGTGCCTGCAGAACGCAGCCTTCATGTCCTGCCCCTCCCCTCTCCCTCTCTCCCACACTCCTTTTGAACAGAACCCTACCATAAACTGTTTCCGTGAAACGGTGGCCACTCCACTGTACGCCACTCTTTTTGCCAGGCAGGAAAAGCCAATTTTCTGTCGCACAACCTCAACTTCGACAACGAAACTTTGGGGCTGATTGGTACACTGCTGGGACTGGCCGAACTACAGGATCCCTCGCTTGGTGCCTGAGCGCCGCCAACAAAAAAGGGTTCGATTCAAACCAAAGCACGGCTTGGATGGGCAAAAAGCACGCCATGTGGCTTGCAGAGAAAACACTGTATGATGAACCCGCTCGTGAACTGTACACTTGAGAGTGCGCATGCAGACGATGAGACTGATTTGGGGAAGATTTTACAGATACACCTGATTTGCGTTTGACTTTTGCACACCTGCTTTGACAGGAGTGTTTTTGAGTTATTCCTGCATTTTGCAAGGGTTCGCCAAAGTCGCAGCTACCAAAAAAAAGCTTATAAAAAGCTCAAGAGTTACAAATTGACAGTTTGACGCCGGTCTCTTTGTTACCATTGGTTCGTCACCACTGCATTGTCAGTTTGACATCGATCTCTTTGTTACCATTGATTCATCATCACCGCAACTTGCTCCGGGGGTAAACTTGGTGCAACTTTCCAGCACCAAAAGCTTGGGAGCAGACTTTCTAATATGGGAAGGGAAATTTTGCGCGCAAGGGTTGGGCATCATGTATATTGCATCAATTGGATCTCGTACAGGCGTGTGCAGTAAGAATAGGACCATACTTTTTCTTCAAGGCTCATTTGACTTCGTTAGATACGGTTAATTACGTTTGAGCACGGTTCTTATAATCACCACTTTAAGCCATTGCATACCAAGATTAACTGCTCAAACATTATTACCCGCCCTAGTGAACGGGAGCTGTGTGTAACATATCCTGAAGTTCGATTTCCTGATTTCTTGGCATGAATTGTCGACCGTTGGAAGGGACTGGGCTTGACTGGCGTAAGAACGCAAATACTGCGAACACGCATCAAGGACGTGGGCCCAGCCCAGCTTGATCACTTCAATCAGAAGTGATCAACAACTTCTAGGGAGCTTGGAAGCCAGTTTCATGTTGTTACAATCTGAAATGAGACTTAGTGAAAAGGATCGTTCAGGGTTGATCGCGGGTTGTGTCGCAGCGGAAGTATTGAACTCAGGTCAGAGTGAATGTAAATAACTCAGATTGATAATAGCGTGCATACATTGGATTTATATAGGAATATAAAGGAATGTTAAACGACCTAGACTAGCCATGTACTCTAAGGGGTATATTCCCTTATTGCAGCGAAGTTCAGAAAGCGTGCGGCGCGGGAATCGGTTTCAAACCTGTTCCCGCTCTTTTCATTTCAAATGCTTCTTCCCGCATCGCCCTTGGTCAGACGGTTGCTGTGTCTCTTCGATTCTTCTGACTCCTCGACTTCGTACTCGGTAGAGTCGGCTCCTGCAGCATACAGGAATGCCTTCTCATAAAACTTCGTATCGTAACAAATGCAAACGGGGGCAATCAGCTAGTCGCAATCAACTGATCGCCCCAACTTGATCAGACCCGATTTCCAATTCCGATCAAACAAAAATTTCCTGGATCACAAGCGATCGGTTGATCGCATGTAATCGGGACTATAACGAGTCTTGCAAAATATTACGTTGTTGTACTGGGTCTCGTTAACCTTTCGCGCATTCATGTGCAGAGTGGGATTGACGATATTACGAGAAAACAGATGCATTCGTCATGTGACGTTTGGTCGCCATTTTCGCGTAAGTTGGAAAGGTAGTGCCAGGAAATCTTCCAGCGTCTCCCGAGTAGGAGCTGAGAATCTACTACAAGAAAATATCGCTTATAGAGCGGCTCAAGCAATGTGATCACAAGCAATCCGATCCAATCAGACCACAGCCGATCAGAGACGATTGGGCCCACGTCATAAGGATAGGCTCTATAGTTAACAATTTTATCAAGGAGTGATGTCTTCGCCTCTCTCCTTGAAGAAAGGGGTGGGTAACATCTTTCCGGTAGTACACCCTCCTCCTCGACCTTCTCACCTTGCGCGTTTCGTTGCTACAGTGCTTGCACGTAGCGGTCGTGTGCCATAAGCCGTACTTTGAATCTTATGGGCAAAGCCGCACCATGTGACGGACTGGTATTGGGATGTAATATTTTTGTTATTGCTGATTACCCTTCCCTAACGTTTTTAAACGCTATAATAATGTTTTGTAGCATGCATCACCTTAACTAATCACGTTCCTACAAATTGTGCCTGTACCGTGGGTGATAAGACCGTTCTGAACGTGGTGACGTTCTACAATCCGTGAACGTTCGGCAACCAGAAGCTCTGCTAGCGCGAAAGAGGGTGTAATTTAAACATTTTCCATGGCGAATGCGACAGCAACAAGGCTCTCTTTTCGTTTCGGGGCACTCTTCCAAATCAGGGTTCCCGCCGCCCGCCATCCGGCCAAGGCCGGGTGGCGTGCGGAAATATCAGGGTGGTGACAGGGTAATCTGTTCGAGGACCCTGATTTGCAGTGTCACTTTCTGCGCTACTCTGCGTGAGAGAGAGTTGGTGACTTGTCACAATTTCGATAATTAATCATGGGACTGGCTCGCTCTACAGCTGTATCTGCGAGTCTCTGTACTTACGATTTCCTACCACACTGATGTGTTCGCCAAAACGTCGCAATAGGATTGCAGCTCCGCTCTACAGCTGTCTCTGCGAGTCTCAGTACTTAAGACAGTTCTTGACACACAGATGGTGCTCGGCAAAACGACCCAACAGAAACAGGGGACTTGGTGTTTTTTTGGCAGGGTAGAACGATGGCAAGCCGGCTAGCCGTGTCAAAATATCAGGAAGTCGGATTCTGGCCGGGTGACTTACTGGGGGGACCCAGTTTTGGCGGAGTAGCGCTGAAAAAACACCCTGTTCGGCAGGGCAAACAGGGTAAAACTTCCTGCAAAAGAGAGCCCTGAACAGCAAGCTGGCAGCAATCTGCGCAGCGCCACAAGCCACATTGACCAGTTGCCCCGGCTGCTGTCGCTTGGACCACAATCCATCATTGGCAGATGACGGACTGCTCCAATCAATGAGTGGGGAGGGAGGTGGCCTCTGCGTGCGGAGAGAGTGTCGGCGCGCGAACACGGGCAGGTCAAATGATCCACGAAGTTGCTTGAAGTGTGTGTACGCGTCATAATGTATTTTCGCACAAACATTGCAGAGATTCTGTGGGGAAGCACAGAAGATTGTGGAAACTTACGGTAGATGAAATGATTCTTTTAACGTTATTTTCATGAATGTCATCAGGACGTTGCAAAAAATACTAAGTTTTTACATCGAGGCGTCATTCTCGAATGTGGCTCCTTATTCTTCATACTGTGGTGGGCAGATATGTGTAAACATATGGTATGAATCCATTTCAGTTACCATACTTTCCGCAGTGCACCATTTCACGACTGCTGAATGGTCTAGCCCCTCCCTGCTGACTTATCCGGCTTTGACACGCCAACAGCCTGGTGCAACAACATTTCACAAAAACCTTCAGTACAATTACAGCCACATCGAAGCAGCCAGCACAGGAACCCCTTCCCACATCAACCTCACTCCATTCCCTTCTTGCAACACCTCATACCCCCCATACTTCCTCCCTCCCTTCCTCAACACCCCCCGAAGCTCCTCCATCACCTCCGCTCCCACCTCCAAGCCTATGAACCCGGCTCGGCGCATCCGAGCCTGCCACTGCTCGAGACTCTCCGGCCGAACCGTCCTCTGAATGCCCTCACAGGCCACAACATTCACAATGTCACGTGCAAAATATAGCCGCTCACACGTGTGCCGGTGCGGGCTGTCCCGCGGCAAGGCAGCGTCGAGCGATGCAAAGATGGAGGAAAACACGCGGAGGGCGGCGCGGAAGCGCGGGAGGAAGAAGGGCGAGTTGAGTGGCGCGTCCATCTCGACCACCACGGTGGTGAGTGGTGAGAGAGAGTGGATCCACTGGAAAAGAAAGGGGAGGAGGGGAGGTGGGCAAGGGGGTGGGTATTGAAGGGCGGACTGAGGCACGCTGCAAGCAAGGAAAGCTGACAATGATGGACCGAGTCATCAGCCAAGAAGAGCAGACTCATGCTGCACAGCACCACCGTTGCCCGGCCCTATGCCATCCATCTAACCCTGTGGGCATGTATGCATCTTACCCCTCAAGTATCTGTTTTGCCCAGCCCGGCTTGCTTGCTCCACGCAGCAACAACAGAGCAGTGTATCGCGCAGGTTGAATCGAAGCACCGAGCCATCCGGCAGGAACAGAAGGCTCATGTTGCACTGCACCACCCTCACATCCCTGCCACTGATCTTACCCCGTGCGCTTGTTTATTCTACCTGGCACTCACCCTGAGCAGCGTGTCACGCTGGTTAGCCCGAAGCACAGAGTCATCAGCCAGGAACAGAAGGCTCATGTTGCACTGCACCACCGTCACCCCCATGACACTCACCTTTCCACGTGCACTTGTTTATTCCACCTAGCACTCACCCGCAGCAGCGTGTCACGTGGGTTGGCACGAAGCACCGAGTCATCCGCCAGGAACAGCAGGCTCATGTTGCACTGCACCACCGTTGCCTCCCCCTCCTCCACCTCCACCTCCTCCTCCAACCCCCCCACCACCGACCGCATCCCCATCGCCCCCCCAAACCCTCCCCCGACCCCTCCCCCAATCCCCCCGATTCCTCCCCCGCTTCCCCCACCTCCCCCACCCATTCCCCCTCCGCCACCCCCTGCCTTTCCCCCCAGCGGCGCGGCAGCAGCAGCGGGGCCGACAGGGAGCACAACAGCCTTGAAGCGGAAGGGGATGGCGAGGGCGGCAGCGGCGCGGGAGAGCAGGCGGCCAGAAAAGGCAGCGGAGGACTTGGAGTCAGTCAACTCGTTCCTGCATGTGATGTCGATGCCTGTCACTCGCAGGGACGGAGGGCCCCCTGGGAAGGCTGCTAGGGCCTGGGATGGGAGGGAGGAGAGACAAGGGCAGAGGCAAGGGAGGGGAAAAGGCAGCAGAGGACTTGGAGTCTGTGAGCTCGTTGCGGCATGTGATGTCGATGCCTGTCACTCTCAGGGACGGAGGGCCGCCTGGGAAGGCTGCTAGGGCCTGGGATGGGATGGAGGGGAGAAGGCAGTGAGGAGTTGGAGTGGGTGAGCTCGTTGCGGCATGTGATGTCGATGCCTGTCACTCGGAGAGAGGGTGGGCCGCCTGGGAAGGCTGCCAGGGCCTGGGAGGGTTGAGAAAGGCAGGGGTCAAGGAGGAGCGATGAAAGGAGAAGGCAGCAGAGGACTTGGAGTCAGTCAACTCGTTCCTGCATGTGATGTCGATGCCTGTCACTCGGAGAGAGGGTGGGCCGCCTGGGAAGGCTGCCAGGGCCTGGGAGGGTTGAGAAAGGCAGGGGTCAAGGAGGAGCGATGAAAGGAGAAGGCAGCAGAGGACTTGGAGTCAGTCAACTCGTTCCTGCATGTGATGTCGATGCCTGTCACTCGGAGAGAGGGTGGGCCGCCTGGGAAGGCTGCCAGGGCCTGGGAGGGTTGAGAAAGGCAGGGGTCAAGGAGGAGCGATGAAAGGAGAAGGCAGCAGAGGACTTGGAGTCAGTCAACTCGTTCCTGCATGTGATGTCGATGCCTGTCACTCGGAGAGAGGGCGGGCCGCCTGGGAAGGCAGCCAGCGCCTGGGAGGGTTGAAAAAGGCAGGGGTCAAGGAGGAGGGATGAAAGGAGAAGGCAGCAGAGGACTTGGAGTCAGTCAACTCGTTCCTGCATGTGATGTCGATGCCTGTCACTCGGAGAGAGGGCGGGCCGCCTGGGAAGGCAGCCAGCGCCTGGGAGGGTTGAAAAAGGCAGGGGTCAAGGAGGAGGGATGAAAGGAGAAGGCAGCAGAGGACTTGGAGTCAGTCAACTCGTTCCTGCATGTGATGTCGATGCCTGTCACTCTGAGAGAGGGTGGGCCGCCTGGGAAGGCTGCCAGGGCCTGGGAGGGTTGAGAAAGGCAGGGGTCAAGGAGGAGCGATGAAAGGAGAAGGCAGCAGAGGACTTGGAGTCAGTCAACTCGTTCCTGCATGTGATGTCGATGCCTGTCACTCGGAGAGAGGGCGGGCCGCCTGGGAAGGCAGCCAGCGCCTGGGAGGGTTGAAAAAGGCAGGGGTCAAGGAGGAGGGATGAAAGGAGAAGGCAGCAGAGGACTTGGAGTCAGTCAACTCGTTCCTGCATGTGATGTCGATGCCTGTCACTCTGAGAGAGGGTGGGCCGCCTGGGAAGGCAGCCAGCGCCTGGGAGGGGTGAGACGAGCGGCGGTCAAGCGAGAAGGGGGCAGGGGCAAGTGGGGCTGATGTTGGATGGAATGTTGCACTCGTTATTGCCAAAGGAAGGAGGAGGGCGTAGAAGGATCCAGAGTCTTTATTGCTCGTTCTTTAGATGGCGGCAATGTGATTGTGCGGAAAGAAAGGAGAGCTTCAGCGTACCATGGGATGAGGGCACCACACAAGCAGGTTCCTACCTGCAGCATCCCTCACCTGCAGCAGCTCCAGCCAGTACCGCCCCATCCAGAACCCAAACACAATAATATGGATCCGACGACTGCCGTTCACCGCCGCCAGCACAGGCCGCATGGCCGCCACGTGGCAGAAGTCCAGATAGGGCAGCGAGGCAAAGCAGCGCTCCATGGAGGCGGCGATCTCCTGGGAGGACGCGTTGAGCCCGCGGTTGTACTGCTCTGCCCCGCTCCCTGCCAGCCGGGCTGCCAGTGCCTGGGTGAAATGGGCTGCCACACGCTGTGCTGCAGTTCCTCGCTCGTTGATAAACGGGCGCATGTGGGGCAGCAGCCGGCGGGACAGGGTCTGATTGGGGGAAAGGGGAGGGGGAAAGCGAGAAGGGAAGGGAGTGAGAAAGAGCGTGGAGGGAGCGTGAGAGTGTGGTGAGGTGCAAGGATGCTGCAATATCCAGATAGGGCAGCGAGGCAAAGCAGCGCTCCATGGAGGCGGTGATCTCCTGGGAGGACGCGTTGAGCCCGCAGTTGTACTGCTCTGCCCCGCTCCCCGCCAGCCTGGCCGCTAGCGTCTGGGTGAAATGCGCTGCTACTCGCTGTGCTGCATTGCCGCGCTCGTTCACCAATGGCCGCAGCAGGTGGGGCAGCAGCCGCCGAGAGAGAAGCTGATTGGGGGAAGGGAGTGAGAGGGGAGGGGAGTGTGAGGGGGGAACATGGAGTTCGCAAGCGGGCTGCTACTCGTGGGATGAGAACATGGCGAAGCAGCGCTCCATAAGGGTGGCAATCTCCTGCATGGACGCGTTGAGCCCGCGGTTGTACTGCTCTGCCCCGCTCCCCGCCTGCCTGGCCGCCAGGGCCTGGGTGAAATGCGCTGCCACCCGCTGTGCTGCACTGCCGCGCTCGTTGACCAGTGGCCGCAGGTGGAGCAGCAGCAAAAGGGGCTGGAGAACGGGGAGGGAGGGAGAGACGTACCTCATCACGTGCTGCTGTCGCCTCTGCTAGCTCCTCCAGCCTCTGCAACACCACTGCCATCGATACCTCCTCCTCCCCCTCCCCTCCCCCTTCCTCCACCTCTTCTTCCCTCCCCTCCTCCCTCCTCCACTCCCCATTGCCGCCAGCCCCCCCAGGAGCATCAGCAGAGCAACCAGCACGCATACTAGCAGCGTCAGCAGCACCAGCGGCACCAGCAGCAGCGCCACCAATGCTACCACCACCACTGCCACTACCACCAGCACAGCCACTAGCGTCGCCCCCCAAGCCTAGCTGCTGCAGCGACTCAGGAGTGAACCCCAGATTGTGCAGCACGGCAGCATCAATGCCCATGGCTTGCAGCATGCCCATGTCCACCCCCATGCCCCTCAACATGTCTGCATTCACGCCCATGCCTGCCAGCATGCCCGGACTCACCCCCATGCGCTCAAGCGAAGATGCATCAAGCCCCATCCCCCCAGTCCCCCCCATTTGTCCCGTCCCCCCATTCGTCCCCCCCATTCCCCCCATCCCCCCCATCCCCCCCATTCCCCCCATCTGCCCCAGCATCGCACCATCCAACCCTCCACCCAGTGAGAATCCTGCCCCTGCCCCTGCCCCTGCACCGTTTGAAACATCTGCTGGTCTTTCTGCCCCCGTCCCTGCCCCCGCCCCTGCCAAATGCGCCCCCCCAAACCCACTGCTCCCCCGCCAGACGCCTTCCCCCGCTGTCCCCCCTTCCCCTTGTTCCCCCCCCACCTTCCCCACCCCAGAGCTCGCCCTCCGCTTCCTGGAAGCCGCGCTTGCACCTGCCGTTGACCTGCTTGACTGCATTGACCGGCCAGTGGCATCCTGCCACGTGACAGGAGAGTCTGCAGGCGGTAGACAGTGCTGGAGGGGCTGGTACCGCTCTGAACCCCCCATGTTTCCAGTTTGGCCGGGGTAAGCAAGGCGGTCGGGAAGAGGGGCTGAGAAGGAGGGAGGATAAGGCAGTGGCGAGAAGAGAGGAGGGTGGTTCAGGCTAGTCGAACTCCAAGACGCTTCAACGCCCAAGGGCGGGAGGGCCGTTGGAAGATTCATGCTAGTGACCCGGGAGAATGACTCAAAGGAGCTTTTCTGATTTCCGCTGCTGCCCGGACTGCCCAGGCTGCCCGGGCTACCCAGGCTGCCCGGACTGCCCGGACTAGGGTTTGTGCCTAGAATGGAGGCGAAGGCAGCAGCAGCAGGTCGCGAGGTGTAGCAATGGGAGGGAACGAGGGCAAGGGAGGATGGGGGGAACGCAGGGATACCGTCGCTGCCACTCCTGCCACTGCCGCTGGCACTGCCACTGCCGCTCTTGCTGTTCTCACTGCCCGAGTCACTACTGAGGCGACTGTGAGTGCTGTAATGCTGGCTCGCCCTCTTGCGTCCCGCCACCTGGCGAAAAACTGGACGGCGGATCAAATCCCTGCTGCAAGCGCCCACCCCGGCTGTATTTGCTGCTGAAACGGCAGCGGCGGCTGCTGCCGCCCGGCCTGGGGATCTGATTTCCTCCAGCAGCCGTGCCAGCCTGGCGGACATGTCTGCCGGGCGGTGACCGCCGGGAAGGTTGTTGTTTTGGGCGGCAGATGGGACACCCATGGCCTTCCAAACAGCAGTGCTAGTTGCCTTGACAGCAGTGCTCCCACCAATCCTCCCACCGATGCTCCCACTAATGCTCGTTTCACCAGCAGTGCATTGTGTGGTGGTCAACTCAGTCGTGACGCCACGTGTGCTGCCACGTGTGGCGCTCAGAGTGGCAGCGGCGACAGGCGGGGAGAGCAGCAGCGGTCGCTTGCGAGGAGGGCTCGGGGACGCGAGGCCGGAGAGACGCGCGGAGGGAGGCGGGCATGAGGCGGCGGTCGCAGGCGTGAATGACGGTGCAAAAGATGGTGCAAACGATGGTGCGAACGATGGTGAGAAAGAGGGTGAGAACGATGGCGCAAATGAAGGTGCAAGCGTAGAGGCGGAGAAATGAGGTGCGAAAGCAGGCGTCAAGGTAGGAAGGAGAGGCGGCCCCTGGTCCTCCGCTCTTCCGCCTCCCCCTGCTCCCCCCCCCATCGCTATTCCTCCGGCCCCCCTTGCTCCTGTGTCCGCCTCTGCTCCCACGCCTGTTTCATCCCCCCAAAACAGCACTTCCGCGCCACCCGTTCCGCTCCTCTCCGCGTCGTCCCCTTTCCGCGCATCCCATACGCCGCCCTTCCCCATCCCAGAACAGGGCGCGGGAGAGAACTGGTCGAGCCAATGAAAATGCAACAGCTGGCAGCCTGCGCAATCGCAGCCGTCCGGGCAAGCAGGGAGGAAGATCGGCCCGCCCTCCGCCGCTACAGCGGACGACGGGGAGGGGGAAGCGGAAGGGGGAGGAGGAGCGTTAGCGGAAGCGACAGGAGGAGCAGCAACCTCCTCTTCTTCAACGGACAGGGCGGATCTCAACTGACCGACCTTGCCCTCTCGTTCCCATCCGCCACGCCTCCCCCACCCACTCCTTCCATCTATTCCACCCATCCCCTCGATTCCATCGCCCTTCTCCTCCGCCTCCCCTCCGTCCGTCAGCAGATGTTGCACCTGATCCCAGTCAAGCCCCGACGCCGTGCTGCTGACGTGGCCCGGAGACCCGGAAGGAACCGGCTGAGCTGGCGGATAAGCCTCCAGGTGGATCAATTCCGAGTATGCCACGGTGGCACAGGCGTTTTCTGCTTGCACTTGCGCTTTACCGTCGGTTCCCTGCTGGCGAAGATAAATATCGTCGGTGGGAGATAAATGGATGTCATAGCTGGACGGGAGGGGGTTCTGTTGGCTCTCATCGGCTGAAGAACTTACAGTGTGAACGACTCCCTCTGGGACAACCTCGAGGCTTGTTTCATAAGAAGAGAAAATCGGCGATGCGGCAGAGGTGACAGAGCCTATTGCCGGAGAGCCGGGGTTCAGAGCCCAGTCAGAGGCGGGAATCGCGGAAGGCGTCGCGGGGCATCCTTGCGGCGGCGGAAAAATGGGATCCCAAGGTGCGCTGGCGAAGTTTGGCGACGGGAACGTCGAGTTTTGAGTCGCCTCGAAAAGCGGCGACGGAAACGTCGAGGCGCCAGAGGGACCTAAGAGGTTCGACATGTTCGTTCCGAGATTGAACGCGTGGAGGTACCTAACCTTGTTCTGAGACGCCTCAAAATAAAACCTGTGTCTAAGAGATCGTGAAAGCGCGAGCTCTCAGCTGTTTAGAAACCAAGGATCAGTCGATAAAACAACGGCGCACACATGAGAACGGGAAAAGGCTCTGGCCGGGTCGCAGACGAAATTAACGAAAATGCAAACCCGTTGTAAACGGAGAATCCTTGCAGGCGACAGGTTGGAGACGGACGCAGCAACTCAGGTGGAAACAGCTTCGCAAGCTTTGGTTTTCACGAATCCATGAGACCGCAGCAACAACCTAAGGCGTTGAGATGTCCTTGAAGACTGCTAGAACAATCGATTGAGATGCACATGTGGAGGACGAGGATACTCGACGCCATGAAATTCGCTTTCCTCCAGCAAATGGATAATCTCGAGGAGAAACAGCTGCGTTGTGAATCCCTGTGTCTCTGACATCCCCGTCCACGGAGATTTGGCGACAGGACTTTCGATGTAACTGTATGGTGGCGAAGACAGAAGGTTGTGCTGGGCTGAGCTCTTCCGTCGGCAGCGCCACCAAACACTTGTGAACCGTCGATCTGTAAGCCAACGGACAGTTTCACAGGACAGATGGCGGGAATGCGACAGCAATGCAGGAGCGAGGAAGCTGGCTCGGTGACGTCATTTCGTTTTCCTCGAAACTACAACTTGACCGCGTCAAACGCTCAATTCGCTATAACAAGGTTGCCTGGGTGAAATAAGCAGCTCCTCTACGCACCACAAAAATAATAATCTAATTTCCATCCACTTATAATATTGGTACATTGAATGTTATCCACAAGCAGCGGGAGAGATAGCATTTGCTGGAGGATTCTAGTGTAGAAAGAAAATAAGGGGAGCCAGGAACATGCAACAGGGTGTGCTGTTGAGGCGGCTCAAGGGAGCACCAATCACAAGGCACCCTATTGAGAGGCCTCAACCGCTCACACAAGCAGCAAACCATTCGAGGTAACACAACACGCGTTTAGAAAAAAACCACATTTTCAGGTATACTGAAAGAAACCCTTGGTTCAGAGGTGTGCATGGGCACTAGAGTGATCCAAGGATCTGCAGAGACAAGTGTCACAAACACAGACACGACACACGGACAACAGCAGATACATTGTGAGTGCTGGGAAGCAACTGGCAGGTGGGGGGGAGGGTGTTACCACAGAGATGAAGTACAAGAACAGGTGTGAAAATGGGTGAAGGGAGGGGGGAGGGGAGGAAGGAGGTGGAGAGAAAAGAGGGGGGAAGCAGGGAAGAAAATGCTTACTCGGCCTCGATGACCATGGCTGAGGCTCCACCACCCCCGTTGCACACTCCTGCCACTCCAATCTGCCCGCCCTTCCTCCGCAGCACCTGATTGGCGGAGTCACGAAGGGTGGTTCGCAGGAAGAAACAACATTGATGTCAGAACACTAGCATGGGCATGAAAAAAGGGAAAACCAGAATGCTCTCATGCAGAATCCAAGCGATAAAAACAACCGGCCCACGGTCTTCACTTCCACCACTGCCGCCCACGCCCAGCAGGAGGATCGACGAGTGCATTCACACAACTCACTCCCACACTCACCTCCACACTCACTCCTACACTCACTCCCACACACACTCCTACGCTCACTCTCTCCCACACTCACCCTCACGCTCACTCCCACACTCACTCCCACACTCACCCCAACACTCGCCCTAACACTCGCCCCAACACTCGCCCCAACACTCACCCTAACACTCACTCCCACGCTCACCCCCACACTACCCCCCCAACTCACCCCCAGCAGTGTGACAATGATGCGCGCCCCGCTGCATCCCAGCGGGTGGCCGAGCGCCACAGCGCCTCCATGCATGTTCAGGCGCTCTGCAGGCACGTTCAGCAGCTTCTGATTGGCCAGCGCCACCACCTGAGAGCGCGGATGAGGTGGTGGGAGGGGGCGAGTGGAGAAGGGGGGGGCGGGAGCAGGCAGGGGGGGGGCGGGAGCAGGCAGGGGGGGGGCGGGAGCAGGCAGGGGGGGAAGATGCATGAAGAAGGGCGACGGCAGGGGGGAGGAGAGAAAGCAGGTGGGAAGGGGAGGAGGTGGAAGGAATAGATAGAGGACGACAGGTGAGAATGGGCAAAGAGGGGTCCAACGAGTGACAGGAGGTAGACGGACAGGTGAAAGTAGAATGAGAGGAGCGGAATAAGGGACAGCAGCAGGAGCGTTGGGAGGGGTGACTGGAAAGGCGGCGAGAGGGGCGGCAGATGGGACGGCTGGAGGGGGCGGCGGCACGTACGGAGAAGGCTTCGTTGATCTCCCAGCAGTCCACCTCCGCGGGGTCGATGCGCGCATGCTTCAACGCGCGCGGAATGGCCAGCGCGGGGGCCGTGGTGAAGCGCTCAGGGGCCTGGGGGGGGGGGGGGGCGGTGGTGGAGGAGGAGGGATGGGGGAGGGGGTGGGTCGGTTAGGGGGGATTGGGGGGGAGGGAAAGGAGCAGAAGACCAGTGAGGGGAACATGAATGTGCGTACAGGGTGCAGCAGAGTGCACGGAAAAGGATTGCTGGTTCAAGGCGCGGGGAATGGGAGCGCGGGAGACGTGGTCAAGCGGGCAGGGGTCTTCAGCAGAAGGGGCAGTGGTGGGTGGGGGGCCATCGAAGCGGGGAGGGGAGGGGGTAATGTGCTTCGCGGGAGATGTGAACCCGAGGTCGTTTTTGAGGCGCCTCAAAAACGACCTCAATGAAGCGGGGAGGGGAGCGGGTAATGTGCTTCGTGGGAGATGTGAACCCGATGCCCGGGTGAACCTTAAAGCCCTTGTCACCCTAAATGCCCTTGTCAACCCCGTTTGCCCTTCCCGTGCCCTCCCCGCCGCGCAACGCACTGGCAACGGCTCTCACCTGCTCGGCGTCAGCGAAGCCGCGAATCACGGCGAGCACCTTGAGCCCCAGGCTGTCCGCCTTGCCGCGGCTCGTCAGCACCACGGCCGCGGCGCCGTCGCTAATTGCCGACGCGTTCCCCGCCGTGACCGTTCCGTGCTCCTTAAAACACGGCCGCAGATTCCGCAGCTTCTTCTCGTCGAATTTCGCGCACGCCTCGTCGCGATCGACGATTAAAGGCGGCTTGCCCTTCCCGGCCTTCACCTCCACCGGAACAATCTCCCACTCGAACGCGCCCTCCGCGTTCGCCGCCGCGGCGCGCTGGTGGGTCAGCACCGCGTGGTCGTCCTGATCCGCGCGCGAGATGTTATACTCCTCCGCGCAGGTTTCCGCGAAGCATCCCATGGGGTCGTCCGCGTACGCGTCGCACAGCCCGTCGCGCTGCATGCCGTCCATGATCTCCGCGTTGCCGAAGCGGTAGCCGCCGCGCGCCTTGGAGAGGTAGTAGGGCGCGTTGCTCATGCTCTCCATGCCACCCGCCACCACCACCTCGTTAATCCCCAGCATGATCGACTGCGCCGCCAGCGCGATGGCTGTGTCCGGGGAAAGGGGGGGGATGAGGGGGAGAACGGGGGAGACGGGGGAGACGGGCTAGACGGGGTAGACGGGGCAAATAGCAGAGAAAGGGGGGAAGGGAGTGAAGATGGAAATTAGGGCAGAGAGCGAGATCGGCGACGACGGACAGCGGGTCTCGGACGAAGCGACGTAGACAAGGACACGCTTGCGCGAAAATGCAGCGTTCTGAGAAATCCACACGTGCAGATGAAGCGTCTTCGCACCTTTCATGCCCGAGGCGCAAACTTTGTTGACGGTGGTGGCGACGACGGTCTCGGGGAGGCCCGCGCCGACGGACGCCTGGCGCGCGGGCGCCTGGCCGAGATTCGCGCTGAGCACGTTGCCCATGATCACCTCCTCCACGTCAGCAGGCTCCAGACCGGAGCGCCGCACGGCCTCTGTGCGGAGCGAGACGAGGAAAGAACAGAGGGGGGAGGGGGGAGACAACGCCAGGGGATTAATCAGACGAACGACCGAGTTTTCGCTTTCTCGCTTTCTCAGAGGAGATTGTAACAGAGAAACACTGCCAATCAGCGGTGCATAATAACGCAAAGCGCATAGCGTTCAACGAACAGCACACCTTTAATGGCGACCGATCCGAGTTGGGTGGCAGGGAGGGAGGAGAGGGCGCCCATGAAGCCCCCCATGGGCGTGCGCGCCGCGGCCACGATGCAGACCTCTGCGATCATCAACAGAACCAGCACATAATCGGACGGTTAACAATCGCCACTCAAACGACGCGTCTCCGGTGACGAACCGAATGGTTCTTTTCACTCATGCGATCGCCCCCAACGAAAAGGTAAACAAAAAAAAAAAAACGAATAAGAAGGAGAGGAAGAGCAGAAACAGTGGGCTCTTGCGAAACTCTTGCGAGAAATACAGTGGGCTCGGAAGGCTGGCGCGATGTTGGAAGCCAAACGACGGTCACCTTTGGGGTGGGTGCCATGGCGTGTCGCATGTCCGTTCTCGTGTGCGCGGGGGAAAGGCGATCCGGCCATGGTGGGTTGCGATGCGAAAGGTGTTATTCAGTTAATTCCGAAACAAAAACCGGAACTTGTTCTTCGCGCTCTTCTAAGTCTTCTTTGTCTTCGGGATGCGTCTGGAGGTGCGGTTGCACGAAACACAAGGCAAGAAGTGGGAGAAGCGAAGAGCTTCAAGCTGAGAAGAACGGTGATCTAGGGGTCCCTCGCTCTTCGACGTGATATGAAAATGGCGGGACGACGTATTTCAGCTTCTCTCGCAAAACCAGTTTGGCTTGGCGGCGGAAGGAAGAAATCCCTGGCGTGCGCGGAGAGCGGAATGCGGGAGCGGAGCGGGAACAAAAGCCGCAGACGACGAGCAGAGCGTAGGCAAGAGGCGCGGGAGGGATGGGATGGGAGCAAGGTGGCGGAAGAAAGTCTTCAAAATTCGCCTGCTTGGAATCTGGAAGTCGACCGCTTCCGCTTGACCTCAGGCGCGAAGAAATGGGCGCGGCAGTGCCTAGGTTCTGAGCAGGGTGGTGGGAAGGGCTATTTGTCGCACACGTTGTCCGACGACTCGCTGACGATGTTCCTTATTCGCTCGACTCTCGTGACGACAGGTTCGTCTGGCTGCGAGCTTTCTCGACCTTACGAGACTGTAACCCTACGAATGAAATACACATGGCGGAAACTCGCTTTCCAGCAAGAGATTGGTGCTGCCGACACAGAAAGCTAGGCAGCCAAGCCAATCAGAGCAGTTTTGGGGTTTGAATTCTTCGGAGGAAAATTATCAGGGAAGGTGGTCTTGCTTGCATCAATGCCTCCGCTGGTCTTTTTCGGCGAAGGCGTTATGGGGGAATAAGGCACATGCGCAGCGCGCGCCTGCGAAGGAGTCGATTGAGGGCGCGTCCCCTCCCTCGATCGATCCTGCCCTCGATCGATCAAGGGTCATATACAACGTCGCAATTGACAGAGTAACCAGATTTCAAGACGGTTTGCGAAGACACAGTAACTGGCCCTCAACGATCTTGTCACCTCCGCTGATGACGATCGATGTGCCTCCCTGTCCACACCGATCTCAGTTTTTGTAGGATCGAGTGTTTTTCCCCTTTGTATTTTCGATCCTGTCACCCAGGGCTCGAGATCGATCCGTGAGTGTCACCTCCTGCCAATCCCACCGCAATTTTGTGATCGGTGTGCCCGATCGGTTTCACAACGAACTCGCGATCGATCGAGAGAGGGAACGCGCCTTTATTCACCGTGTGGCACAAGGATCACTTGGTTCGTCGAATTCACATGTTGGGCAGCGTCAAAGCCCAAACAAGGCTATCATTGATTGGTCACCGTTTGTTTGTTTCGGTTCCATCCCCCGTGTTCGGTGTTGGGAACTTGGGATCCGCGTGGCTCAGCAGGACTGTTAGCTGCCGGCCTGATAGTGGAGATTTCAAGGCATGTCGCACAAAACAGTTCAATATCCGCTGCCGAAAACATCAATACTACAGCAGTGCACTGTAGGTTTCATATATTCATAGCAGAAAATACCATAAAGCCAGCAAACCATATCCCAACTTACACATTTTGATTTATGCGAGTCAGCTATTCATACAGAGCGTCAAGCTCCTGCTGGAACTTTCGGCGAACCACGTCCCGCTTTAGCTTCAAGGCTGCTGTCAGGAGTCCGCTGTCAGGAGTCCATTGCTCTTGGAGGAGCTTGATCCTCACAGGCACTTCAAATTTTTGGAGTTTACCCTCCTTGCTCACCTGTTGTTTTGCAACAAATGACAGCAAAACCAGGTCAGGGTTCCACAAAAATAAAACAGGAAATTCAAGCATAATGAACTATAAATAGTAATTATAAAACGCCAAGTTGAAACTAAAATGAGATTACAGAAAGAGCAAAACGAGTCTGGTTCTCACCTCGGCAAGAGACTTGAGCACTTGAGAGACTGCCTCGGGATTCTCACACAGCGCGGCATAGTCGGTACTGTCCACACCCTGAGCCTTGGCCCATGCAACAAGGGCCGGCTTGGATGGCACCACGAGGGCTACAGTGAAGGTCTTGAACGGGTCGGCGTAGAGCATCACATTCTCGACGAAGGGGCTCACTTGCAGCACTGCCTCCACCTGGCGGTGGGTGGACAAGGGGAGAGAAGGGAATGGTAAGCACGAGAGCCCAAGATGGTGTTGGCTGTGGTGTGAGTTGACTGTAAGTGCATTTGAAAGGGTTGACATAGACCATCACGTTCCTGACACAGGGGCTCACTTGCAGCACTTCCTCCCTTACCCTGCTGTCCATCCAGCCTTCCCCAGCGACACGCATTCCCCTTATGCTCTGCCCGTACACACCTTATCCTGCTGCCCCCCCTACTCCCCATCGTACCTTCCCCAGCAACACATATTCCCCTGCCTGCAGCTTCAAGATGTCCTCCTTCCTGTCAATGATCTGAAACTCGCTGTCAAAATGCACGTCTCTTTCTTCCCCCCCCCCCCCCCCCCCCCCCCCCCCCCCCCCCCTCCTATGTGCAGCTGATCACCTGATGCTCTGCCCGTACACACCTTCCCTGCCACCCGCCTCACCTTCCCCAGCGACACGTATTCGCCCGCCTGAAGCTTCACAATATCCTTCTTCCTGTCGATGATCTGAAACACGCCGTCGGGATGCACCTCCCCTATGTCGCCCGTTGCAAACCACCTGATGCCCTTGCTGTCCACCTGAGAAGAAAGAAGGCGAACGGGAGTAGAGTGGAACAGGAGGAGTGGAATAGGAGGAGTGGAACAGGAGGAGTGGAATAGGAGGAGTGGAACAGGAGGAGTGGAACAGGAGGAGTGGAACAGGAGGAGTGGAATAAGTGCCTCTCCAGATGCAGTTAAACCCGTCCAGATGCACCTCCCCCCACGTCCCCCATGGCAAATCACCATATGCCCTGCCGCCCAACAACTCCCCCCTGCTCCCCTGTCAACATATATTTAATATGTTGCGTTTAGTCTAGTCTAGGTGTTACATGTGTGTCTCCTTGCATGGTTAGGGTTTGCTACATCTAGGGTTGTACATGTCATTTCTACCAATTCATTCTTCCATTACTCTTGTGACGGCCCCTCCCCTCACACACTCACCGAGTACACAGCATCTGTGGCCTCCAGGTTCTTCCAGTAGCCGCGGGTGACGCATGGCCCTCCAGTCATTGCAATCGTTTTCAGTAATGCCCCATACCTACCACGTGGTTCTGTCATGGTACTATGCCCCATACCCACCACGTGGTTCTGTCATGGTACTATGCCCCATACCTACCACGTGGTTCTGTCCAAAGTGACACTACCTTCCCCATTCCTTCATACCCACCCCCCTTCCCCCCGACTCTCTCTCCCCCTCACACACTCACCGAGTACACAGCATCAATGGCCTCCTGGTTCTTCCAGCACCCGGGAGGGACGCACGGCGCTCCAGTCATGATCTCCCCACGAGGCAGTGGCTGGCCTAATAAACTCATACCCTGCACCGCTCCACACCCCTGTGCACAGCACACATACTCACCGAGTCCACAGCACACACACTCACCGAGTACACGGCACACACACTCACGGCACGCATCGGTGGCCTCCTGGTTCCTCCAGCACCCGGGTCTGGAGTGATGCACGCACGGCCCTCCGATCATCATCTCCCCCCCCCTACCCCCCCTGGTAGCAGCTGATCTATCACACGGTAGCAGCCCTGTCTGTCACACTCCCCTTCACCACTCTACACCCCTGTGCACCCTACACTCACCGAGAACACGGCATCGGTGGCGTCCTGGTTCTTTCAGTAGCCAGGGGTGATGCACGGCCCTCCAATCATGATCTCCCCTCGAGGCAGCGGCTGGTCTGTCACACAATGACCACGCGGTAACACTCAAACCCACCGCTCCACACCCCTGTGCACCACACACTCACCGAATACACGGCATCGGTGGCGTCATGGTTCTTCCAGTACCCAGGAGTGACGCACGGCCCTCCGATCATGATCTCCCCTCGAGGCAGGGGCTGGTCTGTCACGCGGTAGTTGCCCTCATCCCAATCCACCAGCTGGGAGAGACAACAGGAGAGGGGGGGGGGGGGGATCATGCATCATTCAGGAATGCTGTGGTAATGTAGTAACACAGCTGGTCCAACACACGGTAATTGCCCTCCTCCCAGTCCACCAGCTTGGTCAAAAGGGAGAGGGAAATGAGAAGCAGCGAGACAGCGAAGCTCGTCGTGGTAACACAGTAACATGGCAACACCGTGAGAAAGCGCTGATATTTGCCTTTGGCGCTAACACAAGCAAGGCTTCTGTCACGAGACGAGAAAAGCCGCTCGGATGTAGCAGCATTGCGGGACCAACCTGAATGGAGCAGCACCATGGGAAGAACCTGGATGTAGCAGCACTAAGGAGTGAAAGGTTAAAAAAAACACAGAACTCACCCGGATGTAGCGACAGCTTAAGGTTGAAGATTAAGTGTAGACAGAACTCACCCGGATGTAGCAGCAGCTTAAGGTTGAAGATTAAGTGTAGACAGAACTCACCCGGATGTAGCAGCAGGGAATGGGGGGGCCGACCCTCCCCACAGAGTTGTCGGAAAATTCTGCGAAGGTTCCTCCAGAGCATGTTTCTGTGAGCCCATAGCCCTGGCCAATGGGAACGCTGCAAAATGGAGAACGAGGAATAATGCACAAGACAAGAAAGAAATGGCAAAAACGAGACATGGCACAAGGGACCAGAGACAATTGGCGCGCGAGAAATATGGCAGACCAGAGGGTGACAGAACCCGGAACCCTAAAAGCATGCACACCTGGGTGTTAGGCAACAAGGGTGGCCCCTTCCCCCACCGACAACACTTAGAGCAGCATGCTGTGCTGCATGCTCTTCGGGGATTACACACCACTGATACACAGCAACATGCACGCACACTGATACACAGCAACATGCACGCACACTGATACACATCAACATGCACGCACACTGATACACATCAACATGCACGCACACTGATACACAGCAACATGCACGCACACTGATACACAGC